CACCTTTGGCCCCGCCCCGTGATTCCCGGAGGCCCCGCCCCTCCCCACCTGCAGCTCATCCAGGCCGTTTCCAGGGGCTTTTCTGTGCAAGTGGCCTTTCGGGCCTCATGCTTAGGACTTTCCTAAAATGTCTCAAAAGAGCAGCAGTGGGCCCCATACAGCTTGATAAGTGGCCCCAGGCCTGGCACTAGCGGCAGCTGCATTGGCTCATAGCTTGGCCTCTCCTGGGCACCTCCAAGCCCAGCACAAGTAGCAGCCAACTACGGTTTGCTGTGTAGCTCATGCTGGGTGGCCCTGGGCAAGACACTGGCAGAGGCTGACTTTGCACCTCCCTGGAGGCCTCAGGGACAGTGCACCTGGTGGTCAGACTCAACCAGGCTGGATTACAACCCTACCACATCCACAAGTGACACACTCAAGGGGAGCACTTGGTGAATACCAAAGCTCCACTGAAGTAAATCCTGCTCCATAGGGGTGTCTCCAGCACAGCAGCTCTTTGGCTGTAGCTGCAGCTGGTCCTCACAGCTGATTGGCCTGGGGGTCAGCTCCTCCCAGGGACGCCAACAGCAACCAAAGCTCAACTACAACAAGACAGTGCACACAGCCCACACAGGGGAGCACCTAGAAGGCCCAGCTCAGGTGACTGGGGAGGCTGAGCCACTGGACCCTACAGGACACCTACTACACAAAGCCACTCTACCAATTCCAGGAGACAGAGCAGTTCTACCTAATACACAGAAACAAACACCAGGAAGCAGCCAAAACGTGGAGGCAAAGAAACATGTCACAAAGGAAAAAATAGAAGAAATCTCTAGAAGAGGAACTAAATGAAATAGATCCAAGCAAGCTAACAGATAGAGAGTTCAGAATTTTGTTTATAAGGATGCGCAAGGATATTAGTAAAAGTATGACAAAAATAACTGAGAAAATCAATGACATAATAAAGTACCAATCTGAAATGAAGGCTACACGAACTGAAATGAAGAATAATTTACAGGGAATCAACAGCAGAGTAGAGGACGCTGAGAATCAAATTAGCAATTTGGAACATGAGGAAACAAAAAACACCCAACCAGAAGAGCAAAAAGAAAAAGAACCCACAAATACAAAGATAGTATAAGGAGCCTCTGGGACAACTTCAAGAGGCCCAACATTCATATTATTGGGGTGCCAGAAGGGGAAGAAAGGGGGAAATAAATTAAAAACCTATTTGAAAAAACTATGACAGAAAATTTCCCCAACCTGGGGAAAGAAATGGACTTACAAGTCCAGGAAGGACAGAGGGTCCCAAACAAGAGGAACCCAAAGAGGCCCACAGCAACACACATCATAATTAAAATGCCAAAGGTTAAAGACAAAGACAGAATCTTAAAAGCAGCAAGAGAAAAGCAGTTAGTTACCTACAAGGGAGCACCCATACGACTGTCAGCTGATTTCTCAACAGAAACCTTGCAGGCCAGAGGGAGTGGCAAGAAATATTCAAAGTGATGAAAAACATGGAACTACAACCAAGATTGCTCGACCCAGCAAAGCTATTGTTTAGAATTGAAGGTCAGATAAAGAGTTTCACAGATAAGAAAAAGCTAAAAGAGTTCATCACCCCCAGACCAGCACTACAGGAAAAGTTGAAGGGTCTTCTTTAAGAAGAAGCTAATGAACAAAAGAATCTGATGAACTAAATAGATCCAGAGACATTGACACATGCAACAGATGATCATATTTCAGAGGAAAGAGGAAAGGGGGGTGGAGGGTAGGAAGAGATTAATCAAAGAAGTTATATGCATAACCCATGGACACAGACAATAACGGGGTGAAGGCCTGGGGAGGGAGGGGGAGGGGGTCAACTGGAGGGGAAAAATGGGACACCTGTAATATTTTAACAATAAAGATAAATTAAAATTAATTAAATTTTTTTAGAAAAGGAGAGTGAGTGGAGCAATGCCTTCAAAATTCTGAAGGAAAATTATTAACGACCTAGGAGTCCAAACCCAGCCCAACTGTCAATCAGGACTGAAAACAGGAGAAAAGCAATTGCAGACGAGCAAGGCATCAAATACACCTTCCACATACCCTTTCTCAGGAACTTTCTGGAAAATATTCTCTATTAAAACACGAGATTAAAAAAGAGAAAAATCTGAAATATAGAATAATGGAACTCCAACACAAAAGAGGTAAAATGAGTCCTTAGGATGATGAATTACAGCAGAGACCCCTGTGCTCAGGCATAGAGGGAACCAGGATGGATAACAGCAGCAGAACTCAACAAACGTACTGAAGGCTTTTACCACTGTGTCCTTGGTCACGGTATCATCACATTCACCTGACAAAGTTACTAGAGGGTGTGCTCCACCAAAACAAGGGAGCAAACTGAGAAAAAGACACAAGATTCAGGAAACAGGGAATCTAAATCAGAAAAAGGCGGAGCATTCCGGGGAGGGCAGTGAAGGGCCAGGGCCAGGGCCATGCTGCTGAGAGGAGAGGCCTATCTGGAGGGAGGGAGGGTGCCAAGGACAGCGCTAGAGCAGAGGGACCATCTGATACGGGGACTTTGTGGAAAACTATTCTCAGAGACTACTGACAGGTGGAAAGCATTAGCAAATGGTACAAAATAACCTGAGCTAACAAACAAGTAACAAAGCAATTAAATTTTTAGATAGTATGCCTTTGACAGTTTTAACTGAATTTTCAAAGGAGCCTCTCCAACCCCCAGAACTCTGCTAAAACAGGTACATGGAGAAGAGTGGTAAAAAATGAGGCTAAAAAGCTAAGTCAAGGTAAGTCATGGCACTACTCATGCTTGGGCAACAAGGGAGCCTTTAGAAGGTTCTTGCTGGGGAGAATACAGTCTCGCATCAATGTGTGGCTTCCTGGAAGATAAAGTGACAAGGGAAACCAGGTAGGACTTTCCCACCAAAGAAGTAACATCCGACAGCTAGAGACACTACCAATCTGAATTTGCACCAACAATGTACGTTAAAAAAAGAAGTCTCTACAAAGGCTGAATGGAATATCTAAACAGAAGTCTGCTCATTCACTGGATTGGTCACAATTTGAGAGAGTCTGTTAATGCCCTGATCAGAGTTTCAACAACCAAAAACAATTCTAAGCGAAGGACAACCAAGTTACTAAACAGAGAGGTGGGCCTTGGGGGGAAAAAGCAGAGACAAAAGCGTTTTATTTTGTTTGTTTGTTTTTACCATCAGTTTTAATTTGAGAAGCATTTATGGGATACCCAACTATTTGCCTATTTTGTGGTAGGCACAGTGGTAGATTCAAAGCAGTATGTAGCATGATCCAAAAACACAAGGTATACACATCACCTGGAAAGGAGACTTACAGACATGAAGTGATCGGGAAGCAGTACACAGCAGATCACAGTTAAGAATCAAAAGGTACGTTCCACGAGGCTGGGAAGGGGTGAGCATCATCTGAAGTACTGAATGATAGCTTGTGGAGGAGGGGCTTGTGAGGAGGAATAATTCCTGACTTGCTGGAAGCAGGATCTCAAACTTCAATAAGCCTACGAATCACAGGGGAAGCTCCCGGCTCCATCTGGAAACTGTGAGTCTTGCTTTTATAAACACCTCACAGATTCCGTTACAGATCTGGGCCATGCTCTGGGAAGTACTGATGACATATCTAGGTCTCGATCAGCTATAAAATCCATGCTCTTTCTGCTGTGTTGGATGGTGGGCTTCACCAGAGGGAAGTGTTGGGAGCCGGTGACCTGCCTGGACATGGTCCACGTCGCCTGAGGGCCTGGAGCCAAGGACTCAACCCTCCCCACAAGTTCCCGTTAGGAGCCGAGATAAAGATAATACCAAGGTCTGGACTCATGCAGGAGGAGTGTTTACTCTGAAAGAGCGTTCCTGCAGCCTCGAAGGAACTACTCTGTATCACCCCCACCCCATTACTAACTGTTTGTTACTCACTCTATAATAAAGGGTTGAGGCCATTTGGGGTGCACCTCATCGGAGGGCAGCCCTCCCGATCCCGTAACTGTGTTTCTTTCTCATTCCCACCCCTGGAACTCAGGTTTGCTCGTCTTTCAGGCTGGTTCCTGACAGGGAAGCAGGGGGACAAGGTCAAAAAGGACAGAGGACTCTGAAGAAACAAACCCTGCTGAGGGCGTGCAGGCAGGGGAGCAGCAGGCCTGTCCAGAGCAGCCGGGGCCCAGCTGGGTGGAGGTAAGAGCTAATGGCGGCGAGGGTCAGCTGCTACAGGACTCGGGCCAGGACCTAGCTCCACAGAGAGGACAAAAGGAAACCACTGAGGACTTCCAACAGGGTGGCGGCAGCAGGGAAATAACCTGAAGGAGGAGATCGGACGGCTGACCTGGACGTTTCTAACAAAAGCATGGCAACCAATTCTCTTAATATAACAAAGTCTGAAACAGAATCCTGTTCAGGGGAGGACTCGGCATCCTCACCTCCGGATTCAGCTAAGGGCATGCACCAGATGGGGTCTCAGGGCTCACCCCGGCCTCGGCGACACGGTGACTGCGGACACATTCAGCTGCCTCTCTGTGTTCCGGCCCCTAGATGGCAGTGCCGGCCAGTCTTTCAGTAGGAGGGCCGGCGAAAAGCCCGCAGGAAAACTGGGCTCTGGCCCCCGAGAGCTTAACAGACATGCCAACGCTGCCCCGCACTTCCCACGGTAAGTTCCGGGGAGAAGCAGCGGTGGGAAGCAGGGTGGCTGCCCTCTTCCTGCAGGTAGATCGGGGGCATTTACAGAAGATGAGACACCCCAGCTGAGTTCCCACGAGTCTCCCTGCTCTGGAGGTTAGGAAGCAGCCTGGCCTCCAAGCTCTCAGCCCCAGAAAGCAGGCACCAGCCAGACATGCTGTGCCAGGGTGGACCCTAGAAGGTCCTCTCCACAAAGCAGGCGCTGGGAAGAGGGCTGGCCGCACTCACCGGGCGAGGGGCAGGCTTCCTCGTCCGAGCCATCTGCACAGTCTCGGTACCCGTCACACACCCAGACGTCCATCACGCAGGCCCCGCCACTGCAGCGGTAGTAATTAGGTGGACACGTCGAGGGCCCAGGAGCAGGGGAGGGGAGAATACGTGAATCTGATGAAAACACCCAGCAACAAAGCCCAGAGTTACAAGATGCTCGACCTCAGACCAAACAGGTACCAAAACTAGTGTGGATGTCCCAGCTTTGGCAAAGTTCTGAAGCACGGCTCATCTAAAGATCATTTATCCTGGATGTCAGCAAAGACCGTACCTTTTTTCTTTTTGGAGCACAGTCACCTTAATTATTATATTTTATTTGAGCTAATAATATTCCGATGAGTTTGCTTTGAAAAGGAAGGTGACTCAGAATGCACAAGTTAGGGGCAGGGTGGAAATTCCTTCTGAGGCTAAACACTGTTCTGGTTAATTCAACCAACCACAGCCACCCCGAGGCCTGGTTCAGAGGTGAGAAAACCAGAAACGAAAGGGACAGCATGCCTTCCACATTAGTGCCTCTCAACTGTACTGTGGCACCGTGGCACCATGGCACTGTGGCTCCTACAGAGCCTGTTAAAATGCAGGCCCTGACTGGGAGGGAGGCGTGGGGCAAGGTCACGGCCTCTGCATTTTTGACAAGTCCAGGAAAGGCCGGTGCTGCCGGCCTGCAGACCACCTGGAGCAACCAGGCTCCGGGGTCCTTACTGCGCCTGTAAAATATAGAACGTGTAACTCCATAAACAGAAGAAGCCAACCACACTAGTTTTCCAAATAAGAGGGGGACAGAACTCAGAAAGCTACCCCCCAACGTCCTTAAGTGAGCCAGGCACTGAAGAGGCCTGGCTGTGGGACAGGGCCCAGGACTCCTACCTCCACAGTCCTTCTCATCAGACCAGTCCCCACAGTCATTCTCTCGGTCACACTTCCACCTGCTGGGGATGCAATGGCCATTCTCGCACTGGAACTGGAAGTAGCGGGAGCAATCTGGGGCCTCTGTGGGGTTTTCTGGAGAGATCAAGCACACCTTCAGTCATTTGCCTCACACCAGTATGAACATGAAGCTGCAACATACACAGACTCCTCAACACCCAAGTCCCAGGGTGGCTGCAGTCCCCACCAGAGATGGACAAGGTAGCCTCTTGGACCCAGTGGGTGACCAAAGATATATCCACATGCTCAACAAAAGCCCACCCGGACCAGGCTTATGTTTCTCTGACCTGCACTTTATGTATCTTGCGAATAACACCTGAATTTTTAATTTTGACATTTTACCAAAGGAATGGCCTAACTACTGATGACGATACAGTGGTAACTACGATGCTATTGCACAGTGGTATCTATAACTTTTTTTTGGGGGGGGGAGCACACTATAAGTTTTTACCATCAATTCCTTACCTACCACATTCCTTATACAGAATGTGCACTTCCTGAACAAGGAAAGAAAATGAAATGGAAGAAGCCCCCTAACACCTACTAGGGGTCAGGCTGCCAGTTCAAACCTCAGTTTCATATACGGAGATTCAAGAATGGGCAGGAAATACTGCTGAGGGATGAGCAGGCAAAGGCGGTGGAAGTGTGCTAGTGAGTGTCCCTCAACCACAGGGCACTGTACCCAAGAGTGGGGATGAGAGGGTGCAGATCTAAGACCTCCTTACCGCAGCTGGCTTCATCAGAGTAGTCGCCGCAGTCATCCATCCCATCGCACTTCCAAATCAAACTGACACACACGCCGTTCTGACACTGGAAACTGAACTCGTCACACACCTTGTGAAACTCGGGGTCTCGGGCTAGACAGGAAATAAGCGTCTGTGAGGCCCAGGCTACTCCACAAGAGAGTCCCAAGTGGTGGTTCTGCTTGGACACAGGAGAGAGAAAAGTCCCTCACCAGAGACTGTCTCCAGGGAGACATTAAAGAGGAAAAGCCCCCCACCACAGACTGTCTCCCTGGAGAATTCCTTGAAAGCAAAAGTCAATGGATTGAAGGCCTCACCCCTAATATCTCAGATCACTTCTCGGCCTTTTGGCTAAGATCAAGTTAGTATCAGAATTTGACTCCATTTGGAGATAAGGTCTTTAAAAGGGTTATTAAGGTAAAATGAGGTCATTAGGGTGAAACGCTAACCCAATGTGACTAATGTCCTCATAAGAGGGTATCGGGACACAGACAGGACCAGGGAAGACCCTGTAAAGACACAGAGAAAGGAGGGTCGCCTACAAGCTAAGGAGCCAGGCCTCGGAAGAGAGCAAACTTGCCAACACTTTGAGCCTGGATTCCAGCCTCCCAAGGCGAGAGACCCCGTTTCTGAGTTTACGCCATCCAGCCTGTGGTTCTATGTGCCTGGGCACCCAAGCAGACTAATACCAGCAGGTACTCACACAGGGCAGTCCTAGGAACGGGGCCACAGCAGTGAACTGACACGGGCCCAGCTCCCATAGTGCACGCCATCCAGGGGAGACTGGCAGGAAAACTAACACAGCGTGCAAAGTGGGGACAAGTGCCAGGAAGACTGTGGGGCAGGCAGGGGGCTCACAGAGTCTGTCACAGAAGGTGACCTGTGAGCCAAGGTCTTGGTCACCTGTCTCCCTTTCACATAGAACAGCAACTAACAAGCATTACTTCCAAAGCAGAAATGTAAGTCTTCCTCGGAAAATGCAAGACTGGACACTCAACAAGACCTGCCAACTAGAGGATGCCTCCCCAGGGGCCCCTCGCGGTTTCATCAGTGGCTGCATCTCATCCCGCCGCCCACTCACAGCATCCTGCGAACGCCGCGTCCTCATCGGAGCCGTCACGGCACTGGATGGTCCCGTCACACACCATGGACTGGAACAAGCACTGCTGGCGGTTCTTGCACACAAAGTCCATGAAGCGAGTGCAGAGGGGCTCTGAAAGGGTCGGGAGGAGAAAGGCCCTGAGCACCCTGGGCTAGTGCTCCCCCGGGAAGCAGCAGTGAAAGCACCATTACCAACCACCTCTGCACCAAGCCCTGACCTAAACACCTGGAATGAAAGTACATCATTAAACTCTCAAGACAGTGCTGTGAGAGATTTTATTGTCTGTTTTCAAAATGGGAAGAGGGGATGGACACAGTAAATGTTCTGCCAGAGCACACAGCTGACAAGGGTGAGGAAACGTGAACTCCAAAGCTGCGTGACACCGAAGCCCAGGGTCTTAATCATTACTGAGACAATACAGGGGCTGGCACCCTGCTACAAAGGCCCAGGGTATGGACTGAACTCCCCACCAATTCATATGTTGAAGCCCCAGCTCCCAATGTGAGTGTATTTCAAAATAGGGCCTTTAAAGAGGCAAGAAAGGTTAAATGAAATAAATACAGCCAAAAGGCAGATTAATGTTACATGGGCCAGGGCAGAGCTTGAATCCAAAAATACCACTATTCTTATAAGAAGAGACACCAGAGACACAAGCACAGAGCAGGGCTGTGTGAGGACACAGTCATCGGCTTCAACGCCTGCAGTGTCAGCTTGCCTGGGTGCCGGCCTGCCACCCGCCTGCAGCCTTCATAACCACAGGAGACAATTCATTAAAATAAATGCACATCCTGTTGGCTCTGTTTCTATGCAGACTGTTTCTCTCAGAGGCAGGGTCAACTCTGTTAAAAGCTAATTACAAGCAGATCCAAAGGAAATGGAAGGCTTCAGTCCAATGTCTACTCTCTCCACACACAACGGCCGCACACTCCCTGGGCCAGAGCGGACTCACCACACCGCTGCTCATCGGAGCCGTCGGAGCAATCCTGCAGACCGTCACAGTGCTTGCTGGATGGGATGCAGGTGCCATTCGGGCAGCGGAACCCATTGCACTTCTTGTCTGGAATGTAATTCAGTGACAGAGAAGAACGGCCAGGAGGAAACAAGCAGGCACCTACCTACGTTGTTGGGAGGCACGGATCTGTACTGCCCCTATGGGGGCAATTTGTCAGGAGCTATCAGTTACAAGTGTATATATGCTGTGACCTCGCAGAGCCACTGGGAGAAATGTAACCTGGCCGAGCAAGTGAGAAAGAATGTAAACACAAGGCCAATTGCAGGACACTGGGCGGGAGTGACACCTCCCCGGCCATCACTCGGGCTGCATGTGAGTCACTGCCCTGGAGCACTGACTGCGGAGCACCGACTGTCAGAGCGAATAAAGGAACGCTGTAAAAACATGTCCTAGATACAGTTATGTGAAAAACAAGGTGCAGAACAGCAGGCGTCAGCCCCACGTGTAGAAAGTCACGCAAGAGTACACTGTAGACCTGAAATTGCCCACATGCTGAAAATACTGTGAAAGGACATATAGTCGCGGTTTCCTACGCAGACAGGGTGGACATGGGCAGATGGGCACGAAAATGTTCACTGTGTAACTTTTAATGTTTTTCCCATTCTGAACCATGTGAATGTGTTACCCGCTCAAAAATTCAAGTTCGGTGTTTTTTTCAAGTAAAAGCAAAGCTTCAGTGAATGGGGAAAAAGCATAAATCCTTTTTATAAACTGGTTTTAAAAGCTCCCTGAAAGTCACCCTCTTAATTCTTTACGAATTCCAAGCAAAGCCCTTTTGGAGAAAGTTTGTCCCAGAAATGTTAAGAAATAGGTTCCCCATGAGCACAGAAGTTTAGCACAGGCCACCCATCTTCCTGGACAGAGCCCGCACCAAACCGCAGGCCGGTGCACTGGCTCCAGAGGCCCGGGTATGAGGCAAAAGAACGCCAAGTCCTGTAAAAAGTCATCACTCCTAAGAAGTTATTTGAAAGACATCAAACAGAAGCAGTAAATGAGCACCACAGTTGGAGAGATATGTCACTAAATATAAAGTTTTTTTTAAAATATAAAATTAAAATTATATGAGGCCACTGTCACTCATTAAGCTTGTGAAAGCAATTCAAGAGATGAAAGGTAAGACCAGGGAGACTTGCGGAAGCATGGAGCATGTCACCGACAGAGAGGCTGTTCAGTATAATCACTTGGAAATAAAATCCAGAAACCACTAAACTCCATCAGGACCTCAACCCTGAAATTCCTATGAGAACATGCCCCAGGGAGGAGTCGGCCCTCACGTCTGGGGGTCCACAGCTGCAGACTCTACCCACCTGGGGAGAAAACCCCGGGGGACCGAACCAAGGACGCAGAGCCCATAGGAATGAGGGCACCCACGGCACTGGGGCACCTGCGGATGTGGCACCTGCTGGGTTTCCTGGGACCAACCCTGCAACACCAAGGACGACCGTATCTCAAAGGAAAATAAGCCCTGGTTTCCAAGGACATAAGCAGTGTTCCTACGCCTGACAGTGTGAAACTGGAAACTCTGGAGCGTCTGCCACAAAAGGGCTGCAGAGACGCAGAAAGAAGGAGCCTTTAGCACTGCGGCAGGAGAGGAGGAAGATGCAGCCACGCCCAGGTGACAGCCGCAGCTCCTCGGAAACGGGCCGTGCGGCATAAATGGTGAAAACCCTGTGTGCTGCTCTCTGCCTCTGGTTACTGGCGCAGAGCTACTAAAACCCCGTATTTTCCTGGGTGGAGGGGAGAGTCTGGTTCTAAGGAGATGACACCTGGCAGGCTCCTGACAACTTCAGGAAGGGCTGGTCACCAGGAAAACCAGGCTGTGATGGAGCTGTCCACCCCACCCTCCTGGACGGAGGGAAGGACGCCATGCCCACGTGGTGCAGACTCCACAAAACCCCAGAAGGACAGGGTCCAGAGACCTTCCAGGCTGCTGAGCATGTGGAGGTGCTGGGAGGGTGGTGCCTGGCAAGGGGACCCACACGCCTTCCCCACACCTTGCCCCAAGCATCTCTCCATCCAGTGTTCACCTCCATCCTTCATCATAGCCTTTCATAATAAGCCAGAAGACTAAGTGTTTCTCTGAGTTCTGGGAGCCATTGTAGCCAATTATCAAACCCAGGGCGGGAGCTGTGGGAACCCAGGTTCAGAGCTTCAGTCAGGAGTACAGGTGAAGTTGGGGCTTGGGATTGGCACCCAAAGTGAGGCAGGAGAGTCTTGCAGGACTGAGCCCTTAACCTGCGATGCTCTCTCGAGGTAACAGGATCATAGCTAGATGAGGGGACCCCAGCTGGTGCTGGAGAATTGCTCAGTGTGGAAAACACACATTGGTGCCCCGAAGTCCCAGAAGCCAGGACTCTACGAGCACAAAGCAGGGAAGACACACAGCAGTGTTTTCTAGAGACAGAGCAAAAGCGTAAGACAGGGAACCTTAAAAATATTTGGTGTAAAAAATCATTTTATATATTGTGTTTTTGTGGCAGCTATTTTGTGGTAATTTCTACACTAAAGGTAATTGGCTATCTCAGACTTATTTTTTAAATTAATTATACTAGAAAAGTTCTACTCTCGGCTGGTAAGCCATTTTCCCTAAGGACCATAACAGAGATTCCTTATCACAAAGTACACATTTACTCAGGGCTGCCGGCTAATTTCTGAGAGAACACTGGTTATATGACTGCATTTAGTGCTCTGGGTGGAAAAGGTGGTTTTCATTTATTTTCTCTTTTTTTAAAAATATATCTTTATTGATTTCAGAGAGAGGAAGGAAGAGGGAGAGCGAGAGAAACATCAATGATGAGAGAGTCATTGATCGGCTGCAGCCCGCAATCCCGGCATGTGCCCTGACCAGGAATCGAACCCCGATCTCTTGGATCCTAGGTCGATGCTCAACCACTGAGTCACACCCGGCTGGGCTCATTTATTTTCTTGAAAGCTGTTACGGAAAAACAGTGAGGCAAACTGCTTGCCTGAGAAATAAGACTCATAACACACCCCTAGGTGCCCTGTGGCAATGCCACATAGGGCTGGCGGGTGCAGCAGGAGAGGATCCACTCCCTGGCTTCTTCCTGAACAGCAAGCAGTCAAGAAGCTATAGTGAGGCCCAAGCATCCTACTTACCGCAGCTGACCGGGTCCTCGTCAGAGCCATCCTGGCAATCCATGTCACCATCACAGGCCCACCGCTGGGGGATGCAGTGCCCATTGCGACACTGGAAGTTGGAAGCCTCGCAGGTGTGATAGACGGCTGCCAGCAAAAGAGAGGAAAGAAATGGTCAATGTCCCCTCATCTCTGCTCCCCGTCAACCATCAAGGAGCTGCCTAAAGGGAAGGACTGTGCTCAGTCACAAGTCAGAAGGAAGCATCTGCGATCTTCCTTGGCCAGAACGTGGGCACCTGGAGGGCTCTTATGGTGGAGGGCAGCCTCCTGACTGGGCAGGGACTTGAGTTGGTGGGTTCATAACTGTTACACAAGCAAAGGTGTACATGTTAAAAAGCTATTCACATCCCACAACAAAGGTAAGAATTGTTCCCCTTTTGCAGCTGAAAAACAGGCACAGAGAGATTAAGAAACTTGCCCACATTCACAAAGATGAGTATGTAATGGCACCAGGGCTGCCAAGTCCAAAGCCTGTGCCTCCACTCTTCCTGCTACTCTGTCTTCTCATATAAGTCCCCTCACTCCTCTTGGTTCAGATAGGAGACACGGCACATGCGCAGGAGACCGGGCTCTGGACCCGGTCCAACTATCGCTGGGGGGCCTCAGTTTCATCAACTATATTGATTGATATTTAAGGACCCTTGTAAGCTCTGAAAGGCCATGATTTTATAATTCTAAATAAACCACCCAATTTCAAATGTGGAAATCTCAGGTCCCAAGAGCATAAAAGATTTTCCAAAATCATAAAGAAAGCAAGCCCCAGAACCTGGACTTGTCTAACTTCCTGGACCATGAAAAGCAACATCGACCAAGCAACCACAATGCCTGGCATCCACTACAATCATTAAAAGAAACAAGAGGCAACTGAAACAGAAGGAAGGCACCTTGTAAAAGGACAGTCTCATTGCATACATGGGCTGAGGCCACCTGGGAATCATTTAGAAACATCTGTAAGCCTTGGTCAAAGACTAGGTCAGATGCACACTATCTGCCTCAAACCCGCTGGCACTCGTGATTGCCTTGCCCCATCCATCAGGCTCCCCTTCTTCCTCGGAAATAAAAGCTGTTTCTATTTGTTACAGAGTGGAAGCCAGGACCGCCTTGTCTAACCTGGCCGATGGGCTTGCCATCAGTTTAACTATGCGGATAGGACATCTTCACAAGAGGAGGCAAAAAAAACCAAGCAGTGGAGCACAAACTGTAGTTATTTATTCAGTCAAGATGGTTTGCAATAAGCTACTCAAGGGTTGGCAAAACTGGCGTCCAATGGCTTCTAGAGTCTCTCCTGAATTTGAGGCTATTTTTTGCAATAGTCTGAAACCCAAAGAACCTGGTTTTTCAAGCCCCTATAAGACAAGTGGTGGTCTATTATCTGTGGACTTAAATCGGCTCTGTCTGATAGTGTCCACACCAGCTTACATAAGTCGCCATATTTTACAACCTGGGGGACTCAGAATCCACTGAAGGCCTTTTAAAAATACACTTACCTGTGATAAGAGGAGTAAGTGCATCATGCATGTGACATGAGCTTTTGCCCCAGTAACAGCCATGGCCTGAAAACATTTTGATTTCTTGGCTTTACAAGTCTGACGGCCCTTTAGCAAGTTCTGCACCAAAGCCTTGCCCCTTCTCATAAAAGATACTGTTGCTGAAACTCATTTCTATTTGTTATTATTCAGCCTACTCATTTCACTTCTCATTGAAAACTATTTCAGAGGGCTCATGGAGTTTCCAAGTAATAGCTCTGAGAGGCAAGTCTGCGATCTCCAGACTCCGCAGAAGCTGGGCTCAGAAGACTGACCAGTCTGCGCAGTTTCCCTGGCGCGCCCGGGCGTGGCCACAGTGCCTCTCACCACCCTCCTTTCTCATTTCCTGTCTCCTGAGTAACTGACTAGCTCTCTCAGACTGAGTATAGGGTAAATAGTATGTGCTCAGTTAATAATTTCTTTAATTGTAAGGATGAAAAAAATTGACTTTAATACAGACTAAAGAATTTGGGGAAGATAAAGAACAATCCTTTGCATGGCAAGGTTCACTGTGACTGTGCGAATGGAACAGCTAAAGGAATTAAGAGTATCAGGGTTTCTCAGAGAGGACCTTGTCCTACAGCCCACTCTCAGTGTGGACATACCCTTTGACTCAGCAAGGCCCTAACACTTGATCAAAAGATTAGCCACGTAACAAGCAGGCCGGACAGAAAGATGGGTTAGTCACTGTGGACTGAGAAGCACAGCATCGTTTCCACAGGGCCCTGCCCTGCCAGGAAGTGAGCGAGGGGAAATGCTAATATCAGCACACCTGGATGATTAATGGCATAAAAAGTAACAATGTATTAAGGGCACTTAATTTAAAAGAAATTCTAGATATGAAAAACATAGTCATTGAAGTAAAAATAGCTCAGGTGATGTGTGAAAAAGCAGATTAAATTTAACCGAAAAGAGAACTGTTGAACTGGAAGAGAAATTTGAGGAAGTAACTAAAATTCTAGCCCAGAGTCCTAAAGAGACAGCAAACATAGTAACAGGAGGCAAGAAAACAGGAAAAGATAGTCCAAGTGGCTGCTGGTAAGAGCTGGAGACAAGACCAGAAGAAAAGCAGCTGAAAGACAGTGGCTGTGATTTCCCAAGACTGATGAAAACTACAAATCCTCAGATTTTAGAAAGAAAACAAACAATAAAAATAATTCCACACCCAGGTAGGTGAAAGTGCATAACAGCAGCCCACCTCCATCACACACACAAATAAAACACTAAAGACAACTAGAGAGAATGTCTGATTGCTGTTCAACGATAATCTGACGAGAGAATCCAAATCAACCAAAACGAGGCCAGAAGAGAATAGAAGTATTCCATAAAAATAGTTATGAAAAATTACTACAAACCTAGAAATCCAGATATATCTGTATTTGGGATCAAAAGTAAAATAAAGGCCTATTTACATAAAGCAACCTTGGAACAGTTCACCGCTGCAGAAGCACTGAAGGGTGTCCATGGGGAGGAAGCACAAGATACAGAAGCAAAGGTCACTGGAGAGTAGGAAGGTGCCTGTAAATAAGTTGTTACTAAAAAATAATAACAATGATTAATTTTAGGACTTTTAAATTGTAAAACTAAAACACTAAGTAAAACACTTAGTGTTTAAAACACTTAGTATTTAAAACACTTAGTGTTTTTAAATACTGAGTGTTTACTGAGTATGTCAGTGCTAGAGGTGTGCGAAGTCAGAACCAAAGCATCTCAAACCCTCGCAGGCCCAGGACAGAGGAAAAATACTAAGAACACACATAAGATGTCTAAGACTGACAGCTAAAGGCACAGAAATCAAATGTTTAAGCTCTAAACCAATGCAGAGGGGGTGGGAAAAGGGAATAAAAAGCCTCAATTCCATGGGAAGCAAAAAGGGAGGAGAGGAAGAGCAAAGAATGCACAGCACAGGCCACACGAGCCTGCCGAGGTCAGCAGGAGGTCGCTGGCCCCGACTTATCTTCTTTGGCTTTGCACATGACTTAATGTTTTGGGCCAGGAAATGAAGTGACAGGCCACACATCATAATGAGCTCACATCTGACCCCTGACTATGCTGAGATGGCGAAGGAGAATCGCCACTGAAGTGTGGAAGCACAGCCCCTGGAACAAGACTGCAGCAAGGTGCAAGCAGGCTCCCCTTCCCCAGGGTACCAGCCGCCCACAGAAGTGAGGTTCTGATTCATTCCGAGAGACCGGCATCTGCTGCTGAAACACGAGCTTGGCTCACGTGGTTGTGCTACCAAGAGGCTAATACCCAAGTGCACCTGTCTCACTTATTTACCAGCTATCCACCCAAGCCCAGAGCCTCCAGGCAGCATTCATATGCCCCCTGGGATGACAGAGGTCCTTCGCGAGCCCGGCTCCTCCTCCTCTTCAGGCCTGGGAAAGGATATGGGAACATCTCCAAGGGAAGGGAATCTGGTGCACCACACGTCATCCTTTGTGGAGTATGTGGCACTGGAGGTAATCTACTGTCTCTTCAAGGCCGACAAGGCTGTGTCTAAACTAAAGGGAGTGGAGTCAACCGGGTGCTGGACCCTGGAGAACACAAACAAGGAGAAGACAGGTGCTGGTAAAAACTGGCCTTAGTGTGTAGCTTAACCACTCCCACGCATGCCCAGGCCAGGCAGAGGATGCCACAAACTGTGGATTGCTCTGTAGCTCTAGACGGGTAGCCAGGGTCAGTCACAGGCAGCACCTGACATTGACCTGCACTGAAGTCCCACCCAAGTAGCCCCAGAATCAAAACACCCACTGGCGGGATTCAGACCACATCAGAGCACGACCCAATTAGCTCCACAAGTGGCATACTCAAAGGGAGACCTCTGAAGGCACCAGAACCTGCTGGGGCAAATTCCATTTCATGGGGTAAGCCCCTGCACATCAGCTAGTACACTGTGGTTAAGGTTGATCCTCACAGCCAGCCAGAGGGTTAACACCACCCAAAGACAAGCCAAGAACAATCAAGACTCAACTACAGCAGGAGGGCTCACATGACCCACACAAGGCACATTCCTGGAGCATGTAGCTCATGTGATCAGCAAGACTATACCACTGAGCCCCATAGGACACTTACTACTAAGACTGGAAGACAGCAGATCTACCTCATACACAGAAACACACACAGAGAGGAAGCCAAAATGAAGAGACAAGGAAATATGACCCAAGTGAAAGCACACAAGAATAAACTCAAAGTGGATTAAAGATTTAAATGTAAGACTAGTAATCATAAAACTCCTAGAAGAAAACCTAGGCAGTAAAATCTCAGACATTTCTCTGAGCAAAATTTTTTTCTGATATATATTGTCTTGGGAAAGGGAACTGAAAAAAGAAAAAAGAGTAAGAAACGGGACTACATCAAACTAAAATGTTTTTGCACAGCAAAGAAAACCATCAACAAAATGGAAAGACAACCTAGTGAATGGGGCACAATATTTACAAATCATACATCTGATAAGGGCTTAGTATCTCAAGTTTATAAAGAACTCATACAACTCAACACCAAAAAACAAACTATCCAATTAAAAAATGGGCAGAGGGCCTGAACAGACACTTCTCCAAAGAGGACATACAGGTGGATAATAGACATATAAAAGATATTCAATGTCATTAATTGTCAGAGAAATTCAAATTAAAACCGCAATGGGATATCACCTCACACCTGTCAGAATGGCTATTATAAAAAAATCCACAAACAAGTGCTGGTGAGGGCGTGGAGAAAAAGGAACCTGGTGCACTGCTGGTGGGAATGCAGACTGGTGCAGCCACTATGGAAAACAGTATGAGGTTACCTCAAAAATTAAAAATGGAACTGCCTTATAACCCAGCAAATCCACTTCCAGGTATATATCCGAAGAAACCCAAAACTCTAATTGGAAAGAATGTATGCACCGGTATGTTCACTGAAGCATTATTTACAATAACCAAGATATGGAAGCAGCCCAGTGCCCATCAACAGACAAGTGTATTAAAAAACCATGATACATATATAAAATATTACTCAGTCATAAAAATAAAAAACACTGAAATATTTCCATATGCAACGGCATGGATGGACCTAGAGGGTATTATGCTGTGAAATAAGCCAGTCAGAGAAAGACAAATATCACATGATCTCAGTAATATGTGGAAGTTAAAAAACAAAATACAAGAATAAAAAAATTAAAGGACTCATGGAACGAGAGACGAGACTGATGGGTGCCAGAGGGGACTGGGTGAAAGAGGTGAAAAGATTAAGTAGTACAAACTGGTGGTTACAAAATAGTCCCAGAGATGTAAAGTACAGGCAGGGAGTATAGTCAGCAACATACAGTGCCCGGTGGGTACCGGGGATATTGGGGGGAGCACTTCGTACAGTATATGACTGTCTGACCACTCTGCTGAACATCTGAAACCAATACAAAATAATACTGTACATAAACTGTAACTGAAAATAAACAAATAAATTTATATTCCTAGTAACAAAAACATACTTTATAACTAAAAGAACAGTGAACTGTAAAACAAAGCCTGAATTACGATGGTGTTAAAGCTGCTCTGCCCTCGCCATGAAGTGGTTAAACACACCTTTATCTCCAACCCTGGAGGGAGGTAAGGCAGACCTGGATGACAACTTCTAGAGCTATTTGCAGAGAAAATCTGCACGAGGGAATGAAATTTCTCTTACTCCTCCACAACTCCCCCACGTCCTTGCTCTCCCCACTCCACTCACTAGGTCTGCGGTGGTCAGCCATCCATGCAGTCAGTCAGAAACTACTGTGTGACAAACATGAGGAGCCTATCAGCCAGCAGAAGAATCAGAACACGACCTCGACGCTACACGACCGACCTTCCTCTGATATTCTCGTGCTATTTCCAAGTTTATTTTTAATGATATCTTATCCCAAAGAGACGCAAGCACAGTGTAAGTTTCCAGTGTTTGGGGAACCCCTGATGCTCCATTCAGAAAATGAGGTCGTTCAGTGCCCCGGGCACATGGTCCACAGACAAGGGGCCGTCTGTAAACTGTTTATTATTGGTCCTGAAGAAATAAGAAGCTTGAGCCAGAACATAAATCAACTCTGTATCACTCAGGACACTGTTTAGTTCACTGAACATTTTTTCATAGCAAGACTTTCTCAATGAAGGAAGCAGGATGTTGCCTGCATTTCGCCCCAAGCTGATCCCAGACCTTAGGGCCAGGAGAGGAAACGGACCAGTCCCCCTCCCAGTCAGTAGAAAGGTGTCTGCCTGGCCAGCGGCCACGAGGAGCAGAGCGGCACAGCCCACGTGTTCCCCTCGTCCTGGCCAGGCTCTGTCCTTGGCCTGCAGGCAGCCTCCCCCAGCACGGCCCCCTCCCTCTCCCTCTCCCCTCGGCTAGATAATCTCGCTTGACCCTGGCCTAGCACAGAAGCTTACCCCCTGCGTCTTTCCCCTCTGGTTCCCCAAGCGGTGCTTTTGGACTAGCAAAGGCCCGTGCCGCACACAGACCACCCCGGGGAGCGCCGAGCGCTGGTGCCCAAGCCCCGTCTCTGAGCCCAGGCTCTGTGGTCAGGTGGGTGGCCGCGCTCGGCAGCCAGGGCCGACGCGCCCGGGACACTGACCGGTGCAGTTGGCTTCGTCCGACCAGTCCCTGCAGTCGTTGTCGCCGTCGCACACCCAGGAGGAGCGGATGCACACGCCGGAGCTGCAGCTGTACTCATCGCTCCGGCACCGGTGCGTGTCTGCGGGGAGACCAGAGGCGTGAGGACACGGCCGCGCGGACCCCGCCTCTGCTGTCAGGGTTCCTCAGGGCAGCAGGGGCGCCGTTACCCCCGTGAGCACGATCGTCCCGAGCCTGGGGAGGGCGCCGAGGGTGGCCAACTACATGCAGGTGTGCTGAGGGCACCCGCCCAGGCTGGCTGCTGCCTCCCTCCGGGAAGAGACGCCTGTCTGCGGGTCTCCGTGCACTTTACAAATTTATCGTTTCTATGCTTGTGATGGGAAGAAGGTTGGGTAGCAACCTCTAGTTGTCGAGAAGGTGGAATTTTCAGGAAACAGAAGACTTCTAGAGACAGAGCTTGCGGTCTCAGAGAAGGAGGCATGAGAAATCTCGAGTGTGCTGGTCACTATAAGATGCTCAGCTCAGGGAAAGTGGGATCAGAGGACACACGGCCGGGGACTTTCTGTGAGCGGAGCTGCAGCTGGGGCTGTCTCTGGAAGGGGGGGCCGCACAGGTGACCGGGACCTGAAAGGAGGCTACGCTGGAGCCCTGTGTCGTCCCTGAGGACGGCATCAAAGCAGAATTCAAGTGGAATTTTAAAGAGTCTACAAAAACAGTAGTAGGCAAGTTTTGGGCCCAGGGTGGCTGCCTCACTCAAGAGACAGGTAGATGGTGAAGTTGGTGATTCGGCTGCTTATGAGAAAAGCCTGGAGACTCACAAAGAGGCCCCAGCTCTGATGAGGGACTATGGAGACCTGGGGGGATTCAGGACACACCAGCGCGAAGGGACCACAAGTTGAGAATCTGAAGGACCCGTGACTGTCCACTGGTCAAGCGTGTGCCCAGAGAGCAATGCCACCAGAAACATGTGACCACGGGGTTTCCTCCCTATAGAGCAAAACTGCCTGCCCACTTTAACCTCTATGCATCCCGAGGAGGAAAGGGTAGGGGTAAAGGGAAAACTGTTGTTAATCCCAAAGACTATCTTCTGGAACTTCATATTTCTACAAAGATGAAAAAATTATGTAATTTGCCCCGCCCAAATGCTCTGAGAACCGGCCGTCCTGTGTATCCAAAAAGGCATGGGGACCACGGTCCCAGTGCCCCATTCTGACACCAACTAACCATGGTACTTTGAAGAAATCCCTGGCCTTTATGGACCTCCATCACTTAATCTGGAAATTAAAATGACTAAACTAGAGAATTCCTATCACTCCAACACACTGTTTTTCTAAATATAAAAATTTCCATTCAGAAAACAGATGCTCAAACAATGTTTATACTATCTACTGACTTAAAACAGAGTATTCTAAATAATATTCGTTAAGAAAAATAACACAGTTCACAAAAGTATAGCTATGTGTCCTCAGGTGGCTCGCAGCCACCCAGAAGTGTGGGCTAAGTCTGTATGGCTCCTCACAGCCCTTCCTGCCTGCCTGCCGACCGCATTCACGCTGTACCATCCCTGCAAGCTGAAGAGGGTCTGCTGCCCTAGGAGCCAGTCAGCCCCAGCCCGTGGATAGAGATGGCCAGGCAGCTGGGTATCTTAATTCCTGGGCTTTCAGAAATCCTGGTACAGCCCAGTAAGCAAGGACACTGCCTCCTCGGAACAGGCTCCTGGGCCTCATGTCCCCTTACCACAGTGACTTTCATCGCTGTTGTCGCCACAGTCATCTTCCAGGTCACATTTGTAAGACAATGGGATACAGGTCCCAGAATCCTGGCAACGGAACTGAGTATCCAGATCACAAATGGTAGTAGCTAAGATGGGAAAGAGAGATGACATATGCATTAGGTAAATTAATTCCCCCAAATACAAACATCCCACTGGAAAACCAACTTATGAAAAGCAGGAGGCAGATTTTAATTGTAGCAATAGAAACAAAACCTAGACTTAGGGAAAAAAATAAACTGCGTTGAGAGCCTGATGTTTACAACCACAGCTTCTGCATCAGAACAGGCTAAGACAAGTGGAAAAAGCATCTGGCTGGGACAGAAAGAGATGGGCTGAATTACCTCCTGAGACCCCCTGAGATGGTAGGTGTCCCCCTAGATAAGTGGCAGGAATTCCTTTACCTAGAAAACCACCATTAGAAACCCAGTTTCACACATGAGGCTGGCCCTTGTTGTGTGGGTAACAGAGGTCGTGCAGAGGAGGATCTGCAGCAGGAACACAGGCTCTGCAGTAGGTCAAGTCCGGGTTTCAGATCCTGGCTCTGCCTCCTCCTCAAGCACTTTAACCTCCTGGAGCCTCAGTTTGCTCCACAGTAAAAGGAGGAAAGGTAATGTGGTCAAGTGCCAGTGACAACCGCCAGAAAGGCTAGATGTAAATCTTAATTCTGCCACCTACACTGACCTAACAGCTCAGCACCTCCCTTCCCTCTCCTGTTACATCTGCTGACCAGTCACAAGACAACTCGCATCTGCACTTACATTCATTTAAGTAATTTTAAGGTCTGAAGCAACGTAGAGTTTTAAAAGAGCGCTCTAGACTTTTCTTAGTTATCTTTGTTTAAGTTCATATTATAAGAGGTGTGCGATCATGTTTTACAAAAAATAGTAACCAGCGGTGTAAAACCCCACTCGGGCATGTAAAGTATACTTTTCTAAGGAAAGCATAGGGAAACACGGTATGTTTGTAAAACTTGTTTAGTACTATTGCGTGTAGATACATTTTATACAATATATCACACTAAAAAATTTTTTAAAATAAAATGTTAAAAAATGATCAGTTTAAAATATTAAAATATATGCAATATGTTTAATTTCAATGTACAGTAATATAAATATAAGATATGACAAAATAAAGTACATTTAAGTTTATTCAGATGCTTCCAATTAATATTCAAGTGCCGAAAAGTAGCCGGCTGCCCAGGTGAGTTATGGCTTGAAACAGCCAGCCGGTCAGCAAGGTGTTAAATGAAGACAATACCTACCTCATGGCATTATCATGATAACAAATAAGGAAACAAGTTTGGGACCAGAGCCCACTAAATAGGGTGTAAATATAATGATTCCAAGACCTCGGTCACTGCTCTCCCTCATCGGCCCTCACGCTTTCTGTATCAGAAGGAGTGCAGGATTAGATTTTCCCCCTCGTCCACAGAGAAACTGTCTGGGCTTAAGCACAGTCCCCAGAAGCCAGCCCGGGAGCCTGTAGGACAGGTTCTGGGAAGGAAGGCCCTCTCAGGAGCAGCAGAAGGACCGGTGTGAGGGACAGGAGCCTGGGGCACGTGGGGGTTGCCATGGCATGAAAAGCCTGTAGCGACCCTGCAGTCAGACATCCTTGGCAGCTCTTATTTAAGGCTCTATTTCTTCTCTGTAATTGAGCTCATGGTGGGAGACAGAGGGGAAAATGCAAAAATGACAAGACCGTAGGGAATGCACATCAAAACCCCAAGCTCCTGACAGCTACCCAACACAGGAGTCTGTCTAAGAGGGAAGATGTGCTGACAACAATCCTCCACGTCTCCTTCTGTCACTCCTCTTGTGTCCCCGGCAGCTGACAGGATGCCTCGCTTAACCTCCCAGACAGCAGTGTCCTGTCACACCCGACGCTCCCTGCAGCCCTGCCATCCTAAGCACTGCTCACCTCCTCTAGTCAGGGAAACACAGAAAAGGCACAAATAAGCACCACTCTTTGATTCCCAGGCTCCACATTTTAACCCCCGCATCCCTCATCTTCTCACTCTGCCATATCTGTGGAACCTGAGCTAAGTGGAACTGCAAGAAAGCAACTCTCCGGGTCTCGGAAAGGTCAACCAGGTGATATTCACACCAAGCCAGGAGGTCAGAGCCACCTGCACGTGTCACCCAGAGGAGGCACTCAGAGGGTGTGGAGACTGTGAGGCCAGCAGCAGAGTCCAGGGCTGGGAGGAGGGGAGCACCCCTGAAGATGCAAGGAGGTCCTTCTGTCAAAATACTGAACCAATGAGATCCACCATGTCTATCTAGCAGGAACCAAAGCTCGGAGACCCAAGGAGGAATCCCTAGCTACTGGATATCAGGTCATCAAATTCATCTCTCTCTGCTTCCACTGTGCCTAATCATTCTGGGCAGTTTTCTTGAAATGTGCAAATTCTAAGAAGCATGTCCCCTCCCACCCTGCTATGTAATAAACTCCTTTCCAGAATCTGCTCCAATGCTGTTAACATTTATTACTGTTTTTAGGAGCTTTGGCTACTCCCCCACAAATACCACACCTTCCTGAGACTCTCATAGGTAGAGGGGGTGTTATTAGTGTCATTTTGCAGGAAAAACACCTCGGAGGCTAGTGCTCTCCCAGGTCTGCCATTTGGGAAGCTCTTCTCTCTCAGGGTGAAAGATGTCCACTGAAGCCAAGGGAAATTCTTAAGGAACAGTTTGGTATATATGTTCCAATAAGACAGAAAAGGTAGTACAAAGAATTGCAGGGCCCAGATGAGTGTGATGAGCTGACTACTTCTCCAGTTGCTTCCTGACGGAGTGGCACGGGAAACTGGCAGAGTGGCACGGTGGCTGGCTAAACACGCCTGCCTGCCAAGGACAGGAATACACAGAGCCGGAGCCGCCATTCATCTGTTCTCAGTACACAAAGTGAAAAATGAGCTGCCAGATTTCCAAAGGTGAAATATTTGAGAGAGAAGCCTTTGACAGGTTTCTGGCTTCCCAGCTCTGGTCTTTCTTCCATACAATTCATTCTGCCTACAGCTCATCTTTCCAAAGGGAATATTTTATCATCTCACTTCAATGGTTCCCAACTGCTCTTCTGTTAAAGTCCAAAGGCCCTTGCTGCTCTAGGCCCCATGCACTGACCCAGCTTCCTCTGGCTGCAATGTCCCCACCCGAGTTCTCAATGACCCACCTCAGTTTCCTGACCAGGCCACATGCACTCTGACCTCTGGCTTTCATACATGGGTGCTCCCCTGACCTATGCTCAGTTCACCTCTGCTCACCCTTAGGCTCTTCATGAGGACCTACCTAAGTTTGATCTGGGAGCCCCAGTGCTTCAGGTCACAGCACTCATCACTCCAATGCAACTGGCTGTTTGCTTTTATGATTCCCCCTTCAGACTTTAAGCTGTGTCCATCCTGCTCACCAGTATATCCCAGGCCCAGTACAGAGCCTGGAACAAAGGGCCTTCCATAAATACTTGTTGAGTAAATATGACTGACAGAGGGCAAAGCTATTAACAATTGACTATAGAGAGCTAAATTTGTCATTACACCCTGCTAAACAGAATCAGATACTTTAGTAGATAGACCTTACAAATCATTGTCCAAAGACGACATTTATATGCCTACATACCGATGTCCCCACATTCCAGACCAAACTAGGATGACCAATGGAGAGGCACAGTCTCCCTGGAGCCTGGCAGGCAGCCAACATCAACCGACTGCAGTGGCACAAGGTCAAACCTGTTCCTATCTCTGAAAGGCTGATCACTGAACTTTCAGATCAAGACTGTCACCTGCACACTGCCCCAGGTCACAGCTTGATTACTGTGGTAGGGCCACAGGGAGAGCCCAGCTTGCCAGACTCCAGTTTCAGCCATGTGATGCTTACCTATAAACCTGTTACAAGTATGTAGTTAACCCATATATGCAGGTCTGTTTTTAAATAATACTACATATCTAGCTGGGTATGGAAATGTGTTTTCTCTGTTCTCCAAACAACCCCATCAGCTTACGTGGGCACCGTGAGGGGCCAGTCAGCACCCTGGACCAGTGATTTTTCAACTACTATGCAGCAAGAAATTTTAAAACATGCAATACCCCACTATTTAGTTAGGGGCACAGACTCTTTTTCCTTAGATTGTCAAATAAAAAAATGGCCACAGCCCACACAACAGCCGTCCAGTGTGAATGAATCAAAATTATACCTATTTTTTGTCAAATCAGCAAAATATATATATTTTTGGTGTGCTACAGAATTTTAGCAATTAGTTTATGAGTGCCCTGAGATGAAAAGGTTGAAAATTGCTGCCCTAGACTGTCCATCCCACCCAGGAGCTGACCAGCCTTCTGAGTAAAAGTAACTGCTGAACATCTCAGACCCTCGGCCGCAGGGACTCACGGCAGTTCCTCTCATCGCTCATGTCTCCACAGTCGTTGTCAAAGTCACACCACCAAATGCTGTTGACACAGTTCCCGTTGCTGCAGCGATACTGGCTGCGGAGACAGGTGTTCTCTAGTGGTCGGGGGTAGGCAGGGGAGAAAACAAAACCAACGTTATTCTTACTGATTGAACACAGGACTTTCTCTTTTGAGTTCCCATTTCTCTTCCTCAAATAACACACCTTGAATGATAAAGAGGAAGAGGGATGCCAAATCCACAGGCCTGTGGGGGCAGAAGCCTCCCACAGGGGCCTCCTTCTTTCCTCGTCTAATTAAAATTAAGGGAGAGGAGGCAAGCTAGAGAGGTGTTCCCAGTGTCACAAGGATGGACAAGCAGAGTGATGAGGCCAGCTGGGTCCAGCGGGTCGAGATACCACACACCAGTGTCACAGAACAGTCGTTACACAAGGAGCTCCTCAGGCACTGCACCTCCGCAGCATTCAAACATGTACGCTCAAGGCACCTACAGCTATGTATGTGTAGTGACACATATTCATATAACTCAGATTTTAACCAAGTGTGCTATGAAGACTTTCTTTACAAACTCTGAGGGTTTTCTTTAAAGCAGGCAGTTACAATTTCTCACAGAAAATACACGTTGTTTAGCAAAGAGCGAGAGCTGGTGATGACGGCCTCTCGTCCAGGTAGCAGGGGCGTTCTGACGGGCAGATAGGAAAGCCCTCTCCCCCTTCTCCTGGAATTGGGTGATAACCCAGTTTCTTTCCAAATAACTTTAAAAGGCCTTCCAGAGCCTGCGAGTTCCTGTGTCTAAAGTGAAGGCTCCTCTTCCTCCCATGCGTGTTTCCGAGAGACCACAGGGGGCACTGCTGCCCTGATACGGCTGCTGGAGGGGGGCCACCATGGCCCAGCAGGCACAGCCCTAAGAACAAGCGGGAGGGAAGCTCCCTGGGCCGTGAAGTGGGTACTTCGGGGCAAGGCCTGTTTCCAGGGGTTCACCTCAGTGACAGAAACACGAGGCAGAGGACTGCGGAAGTGGTAAGGGTAAAAATTCGACAGGAAAAAAAGATTAAACAGCTTTTCAGAGGAAAAGTTCAGAATCCATGTATTCGAATTCAAAGGAAGAGTGGGACGAGGCTGCCGCGGCCACAGCGGGAAATAGGGACTCAAGGCCCTTGGTAACATCGGCCTGAAAGTTCAGGACATTTCAGGCTGCGGTGGGCGAGGGGGGCTAACTGCCAGGTGGGATGGGTGCACTGTCAAGGAGTCTCGCCAGTTCTGTCTCCAAGTCGAGCTGGTCCAACTTACAGGAGGCTGGGGAGCCTGGGAGGGGGGCGGGCAAGGAGAAAACGAAGGCAGCCTCCAAGGAAAGCCTGTGCCCCCGACGTTAAGGCTCAGGGCTGTGCTGAATGAGGACCGAAATGCCACAGGTGTAGAGCCTGAGCCACGTGAGTGCAAGGACCTAGTGATTTTACTTTCACCTTGGGCATTTTCAGTAACTCGGAAACATCAGGGAACAGAAAGCACTGGGAAGAAGAAAAACAGGAAAAGGAACCCACCTTCTTTGACACAGGTGTTGTTCCTCAGCTGATAGCCCTGAGGGCACTCGCACCTCAGGTCCCCGGACTGGAGGACAGTGCTGGACACACCCTCTGGACACGTGCAGCTCCTACTGCTGTTGGCCCTGGGCAGGCACAGCAGGCTGCATGGCTGAGGCACACAGGCATTGCTTCCTGGGGAGAGACCCAACCACAGCATCTGCATTAACACTGGGAGGCACCAGCACTGGGACCCAAAGCAGCTCCTCATTTTACAGAGAGCACAGTGTGAAGCTCAGAAAGAGAGGTGAACTGGCAAGTGCTGGGGCACCTACTGTGCGGACAGCCTCTGCTCAGAGCCCTCAGGGGAGTCCTGACTCACATGACGCCCTGGCTAGATCAGAATCCCCAGAACCACGCGAGAGCCAGCTGTTCTCCAGGGGTTTGAAACTGGGATGCGGAAAGACACCAAGATAATCGGGGCACTGAGGGGGAGAGAAGTCCTGTCACGTGGGTGTCAAAGGTGGTGCAGGGCAAGCCCAAAGCTGTGCAAGGCAAAGCTGTGCAGAAACAAACTCCGAGTGTGCAGAGAAGAAGAAAAATCTAAAGCAGACTTTCCAAAAAAAGGACCCTACCAGGACCTGGGCGGAGAGGGAGAGGGAGAGAGGAAGAGAGGATGGCTTTGCCATTCCCAGCTCCAGTCCCCGTATGTTTCTGTCTTCGGGTTCCTCGCCGTCTCCCTTTATCCCTTCAGTAGCATTCTTTACTTGAGTCAGCTTGCGTGGGTTTCCGTTCCTTAGGACCCAGAAGTCCTTATATAGAACATGCACCAGAGTAACAAACGGGCCCAGACAACAACCCAGGTCTCCCTTTCTCCACTCCTTTGTGCCAGAGCGCAGCTGCTGAGCTAAGTGAGGAGCCTGCTGAGCCTGCTGCCCTTCGCATCAGGCACTGTCTGCCATGCAACACATCCACATACAGACTAGTTAATGTGGATCTCTCCCACTGTTTCCAAGCTTTTCCCTGTTTGGCTTTCTAAAGAGAATACCAGACAGAGTCCACAAAACCCTTCCCTGTACTCTTGAGAGAAACTTGTGTGGATGAACAATTATAGAAAAGGTGTTTTCCCACCTCCAACATCTTTCTGGGGAGGAGGCGAGAGGATGCATAAACCATTTTGTAACAACTGAAAACATCCCATCAAGCAACATAGAAGCCACCTAGATTATGAGATGTGTATTTTTCCTTTTCTGTGTGGCTCTTCATCATCAAAATGGGAAAAATAAACATAAACCTTTGATAAAACTTAGCTGACGATGACCCTTTAGCTGACCCAGCTCACAGACAGAGAAGCCTGCCAGCATCACACCTGGTGATCTGTGATTTTGGCTGTGCTGCCCATCCTGGCCTGCGGCTGAAAGGCAGAGTTCCTTCATGACCATCAGTACTGATGCGGGTGATTGCCCACTTAGGACCCTCGGGTGCGGGCCCCTTATCAGTGTTAACTGGCATAACACATAAAAATAAAAAAATCACATAGCAACATGTTTTGAAGGTAAGGACAATAGAATACAAGACATTACTAAATATAAAACATACACACCCACTGAGGGAAATCCGTATGATGAACATTCAAAAGGGTTTTCCAAATAACTTGATAAAGCAATCAGTTGAGCCTGCTCTGTTCCACAGGCAGACACTGTTTCTCTATCTCAGGGACACAGGCCAGAGGCTACAGCAGGGAACGCAGAGCTGCCACTAAGGGAAAACAACTCCACTAGCATCTGGGACACATTCTTCGTATTCAACGTGACACTATTGTAATTAACTAGCTATGAATAATAGGAAAGGAGCAAAGAGAAGGCCAGACATTATAGGCATGATCATTTGGGCAGCTTCACCAGGAAGCTGCAACTTTGCACTCCCCAGGGAACCACATAGGAAAGATAGATGCATGCCCAGGAAAGTTAGGGTGACATAGGGAAGGTACATGCCTGTCAATCTTACCTGGGGACAGAGATGGTTGGCCAGAATGGGTGTGGCCACTGCAAGCCCAAAACATTTGGGAATACATAAACCCCTAAACAAAGGACTTTGCTCTCTTGGGACTCTTGGGCTCTTGTTGTGCTTGGCCCTTGGCTTGTGGGGCTCTCGTTTTGCTCCTGCCTGTGTTTCTTCCATAGCCACGTGGCCCTGTGGACCCCACATGCAATGGGGATGGACTGCGGTGGGAAACACAAGCTAAGCTAGGCTGATGCTGGACTGGATTTGGCTCCAACAAGGAAAGGAAACTCTGGACACAGACTCTGAGTATAGCTCTACTGAAGCCCCAGCAACACTTCTATGACTAGACTAAGGGAAATGGGATTTTGGAAACGGGTGTGATTTCACGTCAATAAAGCTTTCTACTGCATCTACTATATCACATCCTCCCATGGGAGTCTCTAGAAATTCTTATTCCAGTGATACCCCAATAATCCCACTTCCTCAAGCAAATGGGGAGACAAGCCTCTCTCCTATCCTGTAACAAATGGACAACATATCATTCAATATTCCAAGAAATTGAACAATATTCGCATACTTGGAAAATATTTAATTACAGGATATTTTCACATGGATTGTGTCTATAAAATAATGTGTGACTAACATTTTCACATGCAGAGGAAAGGCTCCTTACACAAAGAAGCAAGAGCCAAAAGCACAGAACCCAAAATGAATACAATATTCAGGAGACTGGTCTAAACAGAGGTGCATAAAACTACAGCCTTAGGGGCAAACCCCAAACCACGCTGACCAAGTTGTTGACCCCAAGACGTAGGCAGGCAGGAGTGTGCAGGCTGGTACAAAACCAAAGTGAAGAAAACAGGAGCACTGCATCCAAGAGAGCCTGGGAGGGCAGGGATAGAGAATTCAACAAAGCACCCCCAGAGCATGACCCTCACACAGGACACCACAGTCTTGTGTGGGCAAAGTGGGCAACAGGAAGGGCATCATCCCAATGTGAAGAGCGTCCCCTTTGAAGACCAAACACAGCCCTGTGAAGTCTTGTCATAGTCAAACATTTTCCAATATCGTCTTTGGAAAAGTCTCCCTGAATATAACAGAGTGAAATGCTTCCACTCTCAGATGGTCTGCAGGCTAACACTCCTGCTACAGACATACTGATTAACTAGAGGAATTCTGCTAGAGGCTCAGCACAGAGGTGAGGCACAAAGTAATGACAGTTTTCAAAGAATCCCACAAGTCTCCACAACTGGACTAGGATCAGCAGGAGTCAGTGGACCACCCAGGAACAAAGGGTCTGAGAAACACCACTCTTCTCAGATCCCTCTGGAAGTCAGCACCCCTTGCCTCACTCCTCCTCCTTTCCTTTCACAATATAAGATGCTGGACTCCAGTGTATCTTAAGATGGATTTGAAAATTAAGTCTCCCACCTCCTCGATCAATAAACCTTTGCTTGCTCCAAACTCTGACCTACTGAATACTGGCCTTTCTTTTGAGGCATCAAGAACACAAACCTTGGGCCTGTAATAGAACCAGTTTAGGAGCCAAAAATACTATTATCTTATTTAGTTATCTAACACTTGACAATTATTGAAATCAAATCCACTCCATAATACATATCTGCCTTCATTACAGATATTTAAAAACATGTGCTTCCTGCAGGCTCTGAAGAATTCCAAGAGTCCAAAATACTTTAGCTCATTGCAGCATCAATTAAATGTATCAACAGCCTTGCAAAGTAAGCTATTTAAAGAAAGGACACTCTATGAAAAATAACTTCCAGTAATACTACACACAAATCAGCCAGGTACAAAAACGAAAAATCCATCTGTTTAAAAGCAAACAGCTCAAATTGACAAATGTTCCAAATGAACAAAGTGTTACCATAGACAAGAACCAATCGAACTCTACGAATTCTTAGTCACTGCCGTGTAGCAGGGCTCTGCTGTTTCAACAGAGGACAGAGGTAGCAGAGCAGATGGCTTTACTGCAGTCAAGCTTTGAAGTCAACTAGGCCATGGTTCAGATTCTTACCACTAAGTGTGAGATGTAGGAAAGATACTAAACCCAACTTTCATGTTCTCATCTCTAAAATGGAAATATTAATAGACACGTGGATTTAGGAAAGGTGAACTGAGGTCACACAGCCCGTAAAGTATATTAGTGTAGTGCTTATGACACTGCAGCCCCTTAATAAGTGGAATTAATTATCATCATGCTATTTTATACTAACAGAAAGTTCTACATGTGTTAGGAGCAGACCACAAAAATAATAAAGACTGACTGGCACCAAGGATTGCCAATAAGAAATATGACTGCAATATTCTCTCTGTGTCCAAAAAAGCAGGCAGGCTAGAACAGGCAAGCTCAAGACCAAGAGACAGCCACTGCATACAAGTGGTGCAGAGGCCAGATGCCACTGCAAAACTTTGATTTAACCCGAACAGGCCTGCCTGAGAGGCTACAAACTCATTTCTCCAGCCCTATGTCTGTGGCAGGAAGGGTCCTGGAAGCAGGAGATGGCCCATGATTTCCCCTTCATGCCTCAGTCACCTTCATTTTAAGCAGCTGGAGTACCTCCAGACAACAGTGTGACTGTCCGTCGGCTGGGATGAAGCAACCAGCCAGTACTGGGGAGTGAGGAGCCGAATTGCTGGTTCATCTGAACACATGTCTCTGGGACTACCTGTGCTCACACGCATGCTCACAGGACTTGTCAAAACGAAGACCTGCTCTTCCGGGAGGGGTAGGAGCTTAGAGAAATGGTGGTGACTCAGCAGCTTGCTAGCAAGGAGGTCAGCAGGGTAGGTGTCCCACATCAGAGGCCCTGAGACTTCAGGCATGGAGCTGAGGAACATGGTTCCTTGACCGCTCCCTACTTTAGAACAGGCTCCTCCTCTGAGAGTGTGACTTCTCCACTGAGTGGCAGAGCTGGAAATAACCCAGCTCCTACAGGAGTAAGGGGCCTTTGGGAAAACTAATTCGTATCTGAGATTTCATTCCCTAATCTGTACACCAAAGATCCTAACTCCAGCCCTGCCCACCTCGCAGGTCAGTCCTGAAGACATACGATAATATTGACTTGCGGTTCGAGACCAGTTTTCTAAGGGTGTTCTCATGCTACCCACCTGATCCCAGAAGGATAACAATGATATCTGCAGCCGTATTATTTCCCTTTGTCAATTTTCTCTTAGTGCAGGGCCAGCCAAAACCCAGGGAACTATGTCAACATTCTAATTCAAAACAGAATCCCAGTAGCTTGTCAGCAAAGGACCCAGCAGACCCAGGGTGCCCTTCAATCCTGCCGAGATGAAGAGAGTGCTTCTTAAAAGGACTATTTTTCTGGGTGTACCCTGACCTCTTTCCTGTGGGGTCAATAGTATGCTGAGGAAACAAACCAAGGGAAAGGGAATCAAGTAAAAGTAAAGAAAAAGGCTTTACCCTGAATAGTTTCAGACTCAGGACCAGGAGGTCAGAGCCCCCTGGCAGTTCCAGAAGCCTCAGTCAACAATCTAAGAAAGCTGCTGCCTGCAGCCTCCCTTTCATCCTGTCTTCTTTCGATACATATGAATTGGGCACCTACTAAGTGCTAGGCACTAGGGAAATTATTGAGCAAAAAACAAACAAACAAACAAAAAACCAATCTTCTTCTTCATGGGGTTTGGAGTTTCATGGTGGGGACAAATTAATTAAGTCATCATCTAACACCACCTCGCATTGCAAGGGAGGCGCATCTGAGCAACCGGGATCCGGAAGGGACCCTGCCAGGAAGCAGCCACCGCCTGCACGCCCGGCACAGCGCACTCCTAGGGTGGGTGTGGAACGGGCACGAAGCACTCACTGCGCCTGTCCAGCAGCAACTGAGGCCACACCACCGGTAATCGGGCACAGGCAGGGGAGGAGGTAATTGCCTACCAATCACCAGCACTCCAGGCAGGCAGAAACATGCCGGCTTCTAGTGATGTGTATCATTAGAAAAGAAATTACAATGTCATTAGGAAGAAATTGAATAATGTGTGTGTTGCTGGGACAGGCTGCAGGCGGCCGGAGCTGCTCAAGGGGAGGCCGCCTGTACCCAGCCCCTTCCAGATCTCCACCCGAGAGAGAAGAAGGAGGCTCCACTTACCAGCTGTCTTCCCCTTGTAGAAAATCTTCATGTCCATCAGCCCCGTGAGCTGGCTGGACAGCAGTGCCACCTGTGACCCACTGTGCTTGGAAGCTCGAAATATGCTGAGCTGTGACCAGTCATCCCAGTAGATTTCATTCTAAAAAGAAAACCTTTGCTCTTTAGTCTGGCTCTAGTGTTTCCTCTGGACCTCAGTGAGAATTACAGCTCAGTTGTGCCAGGGACACCCAAGGGCACTGGCCGAGCTGTCGGCCCAGCAAGACCCCACATCCATGTGAGAGTCGGGCATTTCATCCAAACCTCTCCCAACGCCCACGTGAAGCAGCTGCCTGAAAGAAACTACTTGATCAGCATTCGAGTCTGACTACAAGCCCAGCCCTTCTGTTTGAAAGCTGCTTCTCAGTGTTGGGAAGAAACCTTTGTTCTCTCAAGTCCAAGTGGAAGTGCCGGCAACACGGGTCCAGGGCTCATCTGAGGCGACCAGAGAAGGAAGTGAGGAAACCTTCCCAGAGATGCAGACACAGCCAAACAAGGCCACCAACATTCAAGGGCAAACCAGGAATTTCATGTGAAATAACCTCACCCTTCACCCTTTGAAATGTGAGGAGCGAGTACCCTGGACCCCTGGCACCTCCATATGGCATCCCTCCATATGGGCTAAAGAAAACTGCCTCAAATTCAGAAGTGAGCTATTTTCTAGAAGTTAGACAAGCCTCGCTGCAAAAACCCAGAGAGCATGTTCTTCACCACAGAGTGCTCTCCACCCATCCACACACACCCCATGCTGGGAACAATCCCTACCTTGAAGACCGCAATGGCATAGGGGTGTGGGAGGTTGTCCAGGAGGACCGAGCGCTGCTGGCCACTGAAAGAGATCTGCTCAATGCAGCCCAGGTAGGCGTCCGTCCAGTAGACCCACTGGTCATCCACAGAGATGCCGTTGGGCCACTTCACGTCCTCTGACACCAAACAGTGAACAGCAGAGCCATCCATGTTGCTCCGGTAAATGCCTGGCTTCAGGTCTCCCCAGTCGGTCCAGAGCATCACCCTGTCCAAACCAGAGAGAGCACACATCACACCAGACCCAGGGAAACAGGAGCTCAGAAACTGCCCCATGGAGGTGAGAAGCCCTCCAGAATACCAGCTGGTTATGCCAGCATTATTATCACACTATGTAATCAGAATACTTAAAACCATTTCATTCCTTGACCCCACAATTCCTTTACTGGAATTTATCTAAGGATATAATCAAGTTATGCCAAAGATAACCTACACAGATGGTCATCACAGCAAAGACTGTTTATACTAGAAAAAATATATTTTTGAATAAAACATATATGTATATTTGTGTGTATGTACATATATGTTAATCTGTAGGAGAAGTAATATGTTATGGTAAATACAAAGGAAACTATGAAGCCTAAAATCTGCAGGTGCTCATAAGAAACTATTTTCAAAACATATTAGAATTTTAATATGTGCAGAATAGTATATATCCTATTACTCTATTTGGCAAATACCTGCATGTGTCTGAGTATTTTATAGATATACACCTGTACGTGGGTTAAAAAAATCCTGAATGAGACAAAACTAACTACTCACCCCTAGAAATGTGAGGTGAATAGTTAATAATGAGAAAGGGGAAAACAAATATTGTTCATTTCATAAACTTCAGAATTCTCTTTTAAAAAACTGATCTAGCCCTGACCAGGTAGCTCAGTTGGTTAGACCATTGTCCCGATATGCCAAGGTTGTGAGTTCAATCCCCATCAGGGCAAATACAAGACGAATGAATGCATACATAAGCAGAACAAAAAAATCAGTATCTCTCTCTCTCTCTCTCTCTCCCCTCCCTCTCTCTCTCTCAAATCAATAAAAAATAAAACAAATAAAAATAGATCTAATCCTCAATTATAAATGCTACAAGAAAGGGCTGAAAGGCTACTTCAGAACTTCCCTTTTAGTTCTGTTTCCTTAAGTTAATAAAGTAATGAAAAGCATTTCTGAACCCCCAAGAGCATACAAATTGCCAGTAAGGACACACTGGAGGGCATGAAAAAAAAGGAATGACTTAAGTGTTTGTACCAAGCAAGAAATGCATAGCCCATAGACACAGACAGTAGTGTGGGGAAGGCCTGGGGTGGGGTGAGAGCCTGGTGGAAGGGGGGCAATGAGGAGGAAATGGGGGTGGAGGCAACTATACTACTCTCAACAATAAAGATAAATTTAAAAATAAAACAAGTGCTACAATAAATGTGTTTGGTATTTAAAAAAAAAAAAGAGTGCTCACCACTATCCAATCAGGCCTTACTATGTCTACAGAGAAACCTTAATATCACCTTTTGTTGGAGAAATACCCCACAGACTAAGACGTCTGGATGCCTAGAGAGGTTCGGATGCTTGCTAATGAAAAGTCACATAACAAAGACTGGTTTCAAACTCACTGAACAGATTATTACAACCACAATCCTAAGCAGCTTTCGCGCAGCAATTGTCATGTCCATGAGGCTCTGTCTGCTGCAGCCCTGTCACTCAGACTTGAGTGACACACTTACCCCTCCTGGGGCACGAGGACCAGAGCCCTGGGCCGATCAAGCACAGAGGAATTGACGACCGTGAGTCGAAAGTCTCCATCTGGATGAGCTACCTGACCAAAAAAAAAGGAAGGGAGAAAGGCCACGATGGATCTGAGCTCCTTCCAAGTCCCCTATCAGCTCCTGCCCACAGACATGCCCCCTAGGGCCCCCCGACTCCTCCACAGGCTGATCTGGAAAATCTGCCCCTTTTCCTAGTCAGAATGACTTGCTCTCTCCTCTGGCTCCCATGGCCATTCTCACATGGTCCAACAGAGGTGCCAGCACCCCCTGGCCCCCAGGTCCTGGGCGCAATGAGTGGCACAAAGTGCTCAATATGTTTACCCATTTAACCGCCTGTCACCCCAGCTCCCGCCACCGCACTGTCTGCGGCGCAAATTCTCAACGTCACAGCCTTGCCATGAAGTTTCCACAGACGGGTCCCACATTCTCTCTCTTCTATTTCAGTTCCTATGACTTCAGCAAGACTTGTCTTCTCGCAGTTCTCTAACCTGTCTACTCTTGCCATATCCCCTCCTCAGCCTGTCGTTTGCTCTCTAATCAAATCCTATCTTTCCTTCAAAACTCACCTCCAGGCCTTACGCCTCTGCCAACTCTCCTGCCTACCGTGACCAATGAGCACTTTAGTTTTACACTAGTCTGCACAAGCAGTATTTGATCTGTGCACTGGTCTCCAAGCAGACCTGTGCGAGCGTGCGCCCCAGCTCTGCCTGCACCCTTCTAGCACCCAGCAGAACACAGGCCACACACAATTAAAGACGAGATGCCAGCAAGACCAACAGCAGCACTCAGCATATGCCAGGCACCATGCACCTTCATTTTCTTCTCTGAGCTGCCCTGAGGCTAATGCTGGAGTGATCCTCCCGTCAGGGCTCAGCTCAGGTGTGCATCCTCCGCGCATCCTCTGCCCTTCTGCCCTGGCACAGGACCGCCCTGCCTGCCTGATGCTCTCTGTAGCATTCACTACCAACAAAACTGACTGGCTGATTTCTTCATTATTTTGCTTCTCCACTGAAGTCAATTTTCTGTCGAAGGCTGCGAGCCTTGCCTCCCGCTGCATCATCACAAAATGCAGCTGCACCTGGCACACACCATGCACTCAGAAAGTCCTTGTTAAATGGCTGAGGGGATGAATGAATCCTCACCTTACAGTCACTCAGCCACTGGAATAAAGAGGGAACCCAGGCCTCTCTCAAGTCTGTGGCTTCTGTGTCGCAGCTTCTCGTGGCTCTCTGTGCCCACCTGCGGCTCCTGTGCTTTCCACTGAGCCCACGTGCCACCACTCCGAGAACCACTGGAAGAGTTCTGAGGCAGTGGCCCCGGGCCTCAGCACCACTTGCAGGAGCTGACTGTACCTGTTCCTAAAGACTGATTTTGGTGGCTTAGAGACCATTTCTTACCTTCGCGTTGCCTTGGGCAGCTAAGCTACAGGGAGATGGTGAGGATAACAGGAAGAGCTATCTGACTGGGTAAATAATTCCTGCCCAGCGGTTCCAGCAGGGCCTGGCACACATAAGTACTCATCACCATCAGCAACGAGAGTGACGATACTGTCGCTATTACTCTGACAGACTACAATAAAGTAAGAGAACTATGTCACAGCGTCATAATAATGCTGTGGCATTATCATCATCATTGTTACTACTCTGTCTCTTCTGGACAAAATATAAACTCTCAAGTACCTTCATGCAATCTGTCTGGCAGGTTCCCACATTCTGTTCTTATGCAGGACCCTCATGGCACAGGGCAATGACTCTGAAATGACCCCTTTCTTCGTTCTCCAGAGGCTCAGGCAACCCACCCTCTGAAGGCTCTGAGAATTAGAGTGATACGACACACCAGCGTCTATCTCGGTGTCCAATCTGGCACAGGGCCCAGGGGTTCCCCTACTCGCTGGATTAAGGACAGGGGAATACACGTACCTCAATCTTCTTCAAGCCGGCATCCACCCAGTAAAGTAACTGGCTGAGGGGGTCAAAGGCCAAGGCCTCTACTGTCTGCAAGCCAGAACTGATGATCACCTCTTGCCCTGCACTCCCATTCAGACACAGGCGCTGCAGAGGAAAAGAAGGAGCTCTGTGAAAGACTCAATGACCTCCTGCCCAGTCAGTCCCATGCATGGTAACCCTTTACTCGACTGGCCTGACCGGCAAGGGATAGACAGAAGGTTCTACATCAGTAAGCCTTCCTGGTGAATAAAGCTGGGTTTAATCAACACATTTCTGAGATGTGCACGGCTTCCTGCCTGAGGCAGAGAACTGAACAGAGCTCAGTCACCTGCACGACCTGGCACTATCCCAACAGGACCACGGAGTGGCGCCGTGTCACAGAACAGTGGAGGAACAAAGAGGCATGATAAACAAAGCCAGGTTGGCTTTACTTTCAAGCCCTCTGTCTGCTTTTTATAGTCTTTCTCCCTGGAGAGACTCTAGCCATCAGGTGCTACTGTTGGGACAGACACCCTCGGCAGCACCCCACCCCTGTGCCCACCCCTCAAACAAGAGCACCATAGTCTCTGTTGGGTTAGAAGTCCAGATAAAGCTTGTTGAAATTGCTTTTCTAAAAGGACTGAAGCCCAGCAGCCCTGCTTTGAAATGTGTGGGTTCAGGGCACGGCTCCCTAGGAGGCCTGCGCAGGGACCTGCACAGCTCACATCCTGGTCCGGCTGTGCTCGGAAGAGCTAAGTGGATAATTACGTGAGCTGTGGAGAGTCAAGGGTGACTGAACCATGGCTTCAGAAGAAGGTCACTAGGGGCAAGTGATATGACAGGAAGTGACTAAATACTCTACATTCATAACCTAAAGGCTTCTCAGCAGGAAAAGTAAGACCTTGCTTACAAGCAAGACTGCAGATTTGAGGCTCCTTTGTCAACACTTCATCAGTCAGCCCTGAGATGAGTTACGACTTAAAATTTCTAATACCCACTTCCTTGGGCCATTCTGGAAGAAGTTTATCTAGAGTAGGCAGTTCCAAGGCATAGCCTCCAGGACCAGACCAAAGTCTGACTCACCTGGATGATATCCAAAGCCAGGTCGGACCAATACAAGCAGTTGTGCTCATAGTCAAAGTCCAGGGCCACTGCCGTCCGCAGCCCCGTGAGAGGCAGCTGCTCGGTGGCTCCCGAGGCTAAGTCGTAGCGGTGGATGGATTTCCGAGTGGCGTACAGGATGAACTCGTTCCCCTCTGCACAGACCCACAGAACAACAGGAGGGGTGAACCTGGGATGCCAGAGGGCTCAGCACATCTGCCCTATGTTTCTTCTCACCACACCTTACAGCCACTGGCACATGGGGTGTATCAATTGAAAGGGCATAGATCCAGGCTCAGATGGTGAGTAACAACCACATTTCTTGCTCGGGCAAGTTACTTAAACTCCTGTGAACCTTAAACAAATTTTCTCATCTGCAAAGTGCATTACTTGTTACTTTTCTTTTTTTAAACCTAGATTCCCCAGTAGACATGCTCCAACATCCAAACTTCTGACAAAGTAAGGACACCAGTCAGCGTGCTGTCCTTGTCATAAGACTGTCCATGTTACCATAACCTTGTGGATCAGAGACCACTAGTCACTGAAGACTTGTAGCTACGTTTTCTAATCAGTTTGCTCACCTGTTAAATATTATTCACAATGGCACAGGCAATTATATCAACCTATTATATTTTTAAAACAATAATACATTTGTTTTTGACTGCTGACAAAATGTTTTACAACATAATTACCACAAAGACTATTTCTACTTAACAGATAGTTATACACAATCTACATACTATGTACTAAGCATCATTTAATCCACTTAACAGCTATATAATGAAAGAACTATTAACACAACCTTACAAATAAGAAAACTGAGAGCAGAGAGATTAAGTGACTCAATCCAGGCCACAGAACTAGGAAGTGGCAGATCCAAGACTTAAACCCAGGCAGTCGGATCCATAGTCTACGTTTTCACCACTGCCTCTTATGATGCAGATACTAACGTTGGCATTTTTAAGCTATAGAAATAGAGGTTCACAATTCCTAAAGAAATGTACTTAATGTCAGATAAGTAACCAAAAGAGCTAGTGCTCTCCCACAGGGGAACAGCCTGGCAAACATCAGATTCCTCCCAGGACGGAGACAGGTGGGCAGCACACTCGTGTCCATGCCGCAGACGGGACCGGATGCAGATCCGGCTCCCTTTGCTGAGCGTCTGCATAGTTACGGTGCCACCCCCATTCCATTTGCTCAGTGAGTTAACATGGACTGGCCACTGGCTCCACAAAGGTTTTATTACAGATAACGCACCAAAAAGTAAATCTACCTCCCACTTTAATAAAGGTGAACTTGCCTTCTTTTCCTCTGGTCTCACTTCACTTCAAAAGTATCTAAGCTGCCACCACATGATAACTAACTTCTTTTGGTTTTCAAGAAACCTTCCCGCTATGATTCCCAGGGAAGGGCAGTCGGGGTGACGACTGCTGAGCTCCTAATCGACATCAAAGTCAAGGAGTCCCCAGAGCTGCGCAGCCATGGAGAATATATTCACGGCAGTGAGCCTCCAAACCTCACTCCCTAAATCGACAAACCTCACACAGTTGCCTTGGTTTTCTTCTTCTAACCCTTGCCAGGGGAGCCTGAGCGCAGGAATGCCTTAGGATCAAGCACAGAGGAACACACAGCGTCCATGCACTTAACTTAGAAGAGGAACAGAATTCTTGGCCAACCCCAGCCACACATGAGTGCAACACAGAAATGTGTGTTATTACAGTAATCACAAAGAAAAAAAATCTACTTCATTTTGGAAGTCCTTTCAGATGCCCAGATTACCTCATCTTTGGAAAGATGTGGTTTCCATCAGTCCTATGATCTTTTCCTTTCTGGGTACAGCCCTGCCTTCAGTTCCACACTTGTAAAAAAAGGAAACATTTAGGAGGTGATCTACACTACAAATAAGATTTCCCACTTCATTCCCTGTTCTATCCTCTCCTCTATCAGAAGAGAAAATAGCTTTCCTATCAGTTTAAACATCTTTAAACAAACTGTTTTGGCCCCTGCTGAATTATCTGCAGAAATATTTATTACAAAAGTAAGTGCTCCAGCTCAAGAGCAATCCCTCGAACCCTACTGAGCCAAGCCCACATCAGCACCAGCTCCTGGGAAACGTCTGAGCGTCACCGGGCCATGAGAACCTGCTGCAGTGAGTTCCTTTCATGTTCCCACAGTGAGGCATGCTAATTACTCCGGTAATGACAGAAGGCTAAATTAAGGGACTAATGAGCTAAGCATGAAAAACACAGAGCAAGCTGGCAAGGGGCAAGCAAGTGAGAGAGCCACTCTGCCTGGCCAGCAGCGGATGGCACGTTTCTCTCGTGGTTTGTTGGACACTTATGGCCGCTCAGTTAGACAACACGACCAAGAATGGAGGTCAACAGCCATTATCACCTTCACCCAGGTCTGAGCAAGAGGGAGGGCTCAGAGTAAATAAGGAAGCTCTACATGAATAAGAACCAGAAACAGGCTGGAGAAAGAAAAGGGATCGTAATTTCATGTAAATGTTACAAATACCCCAATATGTGCCATCGCCACCAAATCAACTTAAAACATGTTTTAGAACACACCTACAGCATGTGCATACTCCAAAGCAGTTTTTCTTAATTAGCATGCATAACGATCACCTGAGCTAATGGGAATAGCACTTATTTGTCACTTAGGTAATGTCGGGTAAGAGCATGGGCCTAGAGTGTGAATTGTAGCTTTGTCACTTACCAGATGTGTGACCTTAAAAAAGTCATTAATCCTCTCCTCTGAACATGCTTCCTCATATTTAAAAAAATGTAGCTAATATCTGTTTCAGGAATTAAAATGACAACACATGGAAAAGTACATTGAAATGTGTAAAATTTCATTAAAATATTATTTATAATTATTATAATAAAAATTAAGATAGACCACTTAGCTACTTCCCAAAAAGCCACAAGTGTCTTTACAGTCAACCCTGACAAATGGATCAAGGAACAGGCAAAAGGCCCATGGGCACTGCCCATCCCGCCACTCCTAGAATACAACAGGTGCTCAATAAACGTTTTTCGATGAACAAAGGGATTTACTTCAAATAGTATTTTTCATTCTTGTAAAGTCATAAGTTTACAAATAAGCTTAGTCTGGATCCCAAGTTTAGGGAGCTCTGAGGGGCTAGTAACTCCCCATCTTTTTCTCCACTAAGTCAGAGAACCACAAGGCTGGACCTGGGTGAGGTTATAATCACGTTTCAATGATGGCTCAAGAAGTCAAGGGGAAGAAACCTCCTCTTACCTGCCAAGGGACACGGGACCAGCTCACCCTCCAGTCGTGCTTCGATGTCGCCGCCGCTGCAAGTGTCCCCAGAAATCTTCCGATAGCTGTCAACCCCACCCCAAGAGCAAAAAGTCAGAAACATCAAAGAACAGTCATAAAGGCTTTGTAAATGGGAACTCAGTTCCTACCCATGGACAGCAGAGTTCATCCACCCGTTTCCCTAGAGAACAGGAAGGAGCCTTTTAATCACAGTCAGGTCTGCTTGTGATTAGGTTGCGCAGCTCAGACAAGCTGGAGTGCTGTCCTGGGTGAGAGCTCCTCTGCAGATGTGCCCTCCTGAAATTTATGACTTAAGACACATGCAGAGTCGTAGAGAAATTTACAGACTTGCATGTTTTTCTAACTGAGGGTGAGGGAGTTTGCAAACATACTAACTTTAAATACTGCCCGAGCTACTTGAAACCTGCACACCGAGAAGTCCAGCATTCAGTATGAAAGGCGGGGTGGGCCTCTGGGCCCTCGCACCCCGTGGGGCCCCACATCCCCAGCCCACAGCCTTGGCAGACGTACCCTCTTGTTTTCCTGTACGCTGAACCCACAGGACAAGGCACAGGAGGAGAATATGACTTCCCAGAAAACTCAGGGTCAGGAACACAAACCTCTAAGGACAGGTCCTCACTCATCTTGAAGCCGAAGTCACTGAAAGGCAATGAGGGTCTGTCACAGCCACGGTTAGGACCTCAGTGCCCACCCTGTGACTTCAACACGCTGCCTACTGCCTGTAGCACAAGTTCTTACAAGTTCCTTTGCAGACTACTCACATTTTTACACTAATACATTTCCCAAAGACACTTCACATCAGAACCATACTCTTAAAACCACTATCATATGCCATAAATGAACAAAAACAATACAAATCATAGGCTAAAGACAAAACAATATTAAATTTTTTAGCTAGATCCAATTTCCCACCCCAGACCCTGGGCCTGCCCTCTCCTTGTTAAAAAGGATCAGCAAATATAAAAGAATCATAAGCCCTAGTGAGGCTTTCTTTTTTATATGACTGAAGACCTAAATGAGAAATTAAAAAAATTAATCACTTTTTTTTTAACCAAGGATTTTTTTTTACCAATGTTTCTTAAGCTCATGTCCACATACTACCTAAAAAATCTTCGCATGCCTCATCCTGCCCTTCAGGACACAGTGCTCTGGTCCTCAAGATCTTCTGCAATTTGGGGCCACATCTCCTCCAAACTACCCAGATCAAGGAGCAGAGTGGGAAGCAGAGGTCCTTGGTCTCATCTTGGCTCTGCCCTTAAGTAAGTGACTTCTCTCAGCTGCCTTGAATAACTCTAAGACAAGGCAGCTTCACTACAGACTTACCAAGGCCCTGCCCAAACCACAAATTCATAATTAAAGGAATTTTCCAGTTGACGTGCTCTCCCTGAAAGGCTTCATTTACTCTGTTTGGTTCAACAAATATTTATTAAACACCTACTATGTGAAAAATATTTAACAGGTACAGGGCAAAGTGGCTTGTTTATACTATGCCATAATCCGCATTTAGCACTTTGTACAGAATTGTTCAGAAAGAAGCGTTGTGCCCTGGCCGGTGTTGCTCAGTGGTCAGAGCGTTGGCCTGCAGACTGAGGGGTCTCGGGTTCGATTCCAGTCAAGGGCATGTACCTCAGTTGCAGGGTTGATCCTCAGCCCTGGTCAGGATGAGTAAGGGAGGCAATCGACCAATGTGTGTGTCTCTCTCTCCCTTCCTCTCTCTCTGAAAAGCAATGGGGAAAAAATCCTCAGTGGGGATTAAAAAAAAAGGAGAGTTTTATTACTGTGTCAAACAGGTCTTATTAAATCAGATAATTTTTACTGAACGGCTGCTTTAAATCTTTTGGGGGACTATGTGGAGCACTAGCTAATTACTGTTTTGCCTCCAACGGCTGAGCCCCCTTTTCAGGCACGTTTCATCACACTGTGACCTAGCAGGCAGTGAAAGTGCCCTGGGGGGTTCAGAACAGCTTCCCCCTCTAACTCCCCTAAAAAACAGAAGACTGCAAAATGCATCCCACTTAACAGTAAATGTTATCCCACAAAACTTCTGTTTTAATCACACATGTGCATGTATCTACATATAAAGAAGTGTGCAGGTACAGGGTCAGACTAGAAGATGCACTGTGTGCCCCAGTAGTTGCAGCCAAGGGTTTGAAAGTCACACTTCCTGACTATGTGGAAAGAGTCGATTAGCCTTTGATTAAAAAAAAAAATTTACATTTTAAAAAAAGATGTAAAAGAACCTACCCCTGAACCAGGGAACCTGTGGGCCAATGGCTGGGCCTCCCAGTGAGGTCTGAGGGACTGTCAGAGTAACCTCACTTTCAAATACAGTTGTCCCTCAGGAGCTGAACTAATGGGCAGATCCTACAAATTCACTCATTTTCATTTCCTCTGCTGTTATCCATCTTCAGACCATTTCACTTATCACTACCACAGTCCGATACCAAACAGCTCCAGGATCCACACACTCAGGCAGGGGGGGCTCCTTTCTAACAGCTATAGCAAACAGACGAACAATAAGAGGATAGCCTGAAATCCATACACCCTTTATCACAGCCATGGCCCATCACCCTCACGGTCTTATTCGGCCCGAAGCCCAACTCCGGGGAAGGCGGTTTTTCTGGTCTATAATAAAGACTCAGCACCCGGGGTTTCTACAAGTCAGGGGGTGAGCGTGTGGATCAGGGAGAGCCAGGCCAGGTCATTGGGATGGCCCACTGGCCCCCAGGCCTTGGTTTCAGTTGTTGCTGCTGGGAGGCGAGAAAAGGCATAATAGTGGTCATCAAGGAAAAAAATCAAAGATTTGTTACACTATCTTGCGTGTTTTTTATTTTGTTTTATTTTTAAGTACTTAATGGGGATAAAAGAGGGAAGAGAGCAGGCACCATATCTTTTCCATGATTAGGCCTCTTTGGTCAGGGGACTGCCTGAGGCCAGCAATAGCTCTCAGATTAGAGTTACAAGTTCGAGGACCTAACAGAGGGCAGAGGGCACTGAGCTGGCCCACTGGGAGCATCCGTCCCACAGCTCTGCAGCTGCACAGAAACAGCTATGCTAGTATCTCAGGTCCACACAGCTTTCAATGGGAATGTGTGTCTTGTTTAGTCCAAAGCCCCTGCTCAAAGGGTGGGTGTGCAGATAAATCATCCAAAGTCTGCAGAAGTGCAGGTTCCCAGAACCACGGAGTCAGAACTTGCAATTTAAGAAGATCCCGGGTGACTCATGCACATTTGGTCTAGGACGGGAGCTGCCCAGATGGGGTTAGCTGTTTCAGTAAATAAAACTTACTGGGATCAAACCATGCTGATTCCTCCATAGCTGTCCGTGCTACTGCAGGCAGAGCTGAGCAGTTGCAAAGACCATGAAGCCTGCAAAGCCTAAAACATTCACTAGATGGCCCTGTCCCAACCTCTGGACCACAACACCTCCGAGGTTCCTGGCTTTAGTCTATATGAGTGCTTCCCAAAGCAAACTGTAGATTCTTTGTGCCCCAGCAACTGCTGAAAAATGAGCTATGCATTTATGTTCCGTACCTATGCTCGGCTCACAGTCCTGCCAAATCTGGACAGGTCCTGTGCTGGGTAACAGAACTGGGAGCCAGCCTCAGGCTCTGATACCATGAGCTCTACTGCTAGTCATCTCCCTGAAGCTAAGCTCTGCTCTGATCCTCACCTCTCCTCAAAAGCCTTCAAAGACACCCTCCTGGCTTACAGAATAAGGTCTCTCTTTTCAGCCTCATCTCCACTCACTGGCCCCACCACATACACCCACGGCATCCAAACAAGAGCAGCAACTACTTCCCTGCCTCACACGGTGCTCCCTCTTCTCAGAGTTCCTGTCCCCACACCTGGATCTTCCTTAAGGCTCATCAGACACGGTGCTTCCTCCAGAAATTCCTCAGTTCCCAACAGCCAACCATCTTCTCCTTCCTGTCGGTATTTATAATAAAGTGTGTCCTCCAAGGCACTGCAGCTTTCCGTCCGTTACCTTATCTGTGCGAACGTCATCTCTTCTGCTTTTACATGCTTAGCAGCACCTCGCATATTCTGCTCAAGGACTAATGAATGTGTGTGTGTGCGCGCATGCACACACACACTGATATTCCCTTGCTTCAGATAAGGAAATAAACTCCCTCTAGAACAGGGCTCTTAAGAAAAAGGAGTTACCTACAATGGAACCTTCGGTGTGTTCTTGCTGGGGTTGCCCTCATAGAAATAAACCCCAGAGCAATCTATTCCTGAATAAATTACTTCAGCTCCCCTGGGTTGTAACACCTCTCTCACATCATGCGGCCTCTGACTCTGAATGGAATAACCTGTATAAAAAGTGCCCAGCACATAAAAGGTGCTTAATAAGTATTTGTTTCCTAGGGTTTCCTTCCTTTACTCAGGGAAAGGAACACGCCCCAGCCTGTTCCCCACACTGCTCAGAACAGAACACAGCTCCAACCCAGGCGTCGATGGAGAACCCACCATTCGTAGTCCTCTCGGGTGCAGGAGCAGTTGGACACAACCACCGGCCTGTCAAAGTCTTCTCCGTTAAAGCACGTGGCATGGGGGGTCCTCCGCTTGAAAACAGTCTTGTGCCCCAGCAAGCACTCATTGCCCCTCTCATCAGACGGTGACCACAGCTTGTAGTCATTCTCTGTGCAGGGGACCCCTGAGGAAGGAGATGCAGCATTAGATGTGGCCCTTGAGGGGTTTCCTGCCCCATCACCTGTCAGCCCCGTCGCCGACTCACTACCATCCTGGTGCCGTCCCAGACTCTGCTCAGCTTGCTTTCAGGCTGGTGACACCACACAAATGAAGATGGTACCCCCTGAAACACATGTTCATCTGAAAAGCTGGGAAGCAGCAAACCACCTCTGGCACCATCTATTTCTGACTGGCTCCTTTCTGTGGTCTCTGTGTCCCCTTCTGTGCTTACTGTCTCTCTAAGTGCTTCCCAAGGCCCTGAGCATCCCTGTGGCCGTGCTCTGAATGGTGCCCGGCTGGGTGCTTGCCTCCATCTCATTTCGTAGTTCTCCTGGAGTTCCTGCTGCTCCTACATTTGGGCCTGTTTCTTTGTCTCTCCACTTTGGCTGCCTGTTTGTGTATTGGGTAGAGCTGCTATGACTCTGAGTCTTGGTAGGGGCCTTACACAGCAGGTGTCCTGTTGGCTCAGGGGAACAGTCTGCCAATCACCCGAGCTGGGTGCTCCAGGAGAGCTCCTTGTGTGGGTTATGTGGGCCCTTCTGGTAGAGCTGAGTCCTGACTGCTGTTGGCCGGGGACACAAGCTGCATGAGGCAGGTTCTCAGTGAGTCACCAGGTAGGGGTGAGTGCTGTTCACCAGGTTTATAGAGATTCAAACTCAGCACCAGGGCTGGGTTTGAGGCCACTCAACAGAAGTCTCAGGGTTCACCAAGGCCAGCCGCCAGGCGCTGGGGGTCTGAGGAACTTGGCGGTCACAGGGAGTCCTCAGGGTTAGGCCAGCAGAGTTACAACAGATTAAGATTTGGCCATGTGGAGGGAGGGCTCTGCATAGGAACAGAGACACTGGTCAGGACATACAGAAAAAATGGCTTCGGTGGAAAGCCACACAATTGTCTCTCCGAGTATCTCTGACACTGCTGGAGTCTGCCCATACTTCTCAAGAGTCCAAGAAAGACTGCAACACCACCAGGCTGGCTGCAGCCACACGCTCCTCTGCAGGGTACGAGCTCCACAGGACAAGGCCAGGGAGTCAGGGGTTGAGGCTAGTGCTGTGCTCCACCCAGGAAAGCAGGTGTCTGGGGGTTGTGTGGGAGAGAGACTCAGCACAAGGACATCGGCAGCTGCCCTCCAGCCCTCTCCCCCAGGCCTCACCACCCAGCCTCTCCCTGTATGACTCCAGTCTGCTCTGAGCTGCTCTCCCTCTGCTGAAGCAAGGGTGAGTGCCCGTGAATGAGATTTTGTGTGCTGGTCTTCTTAGAGAACACCTGGGTTTCTAGCAGACTCCCATCTCACTTAGGCAGATGATATTCCCGCTGATTTTCATAGCCCAATGTTATATGGGATTCCCTTCCAGGCACTAGTGCTCAAGACAGGGGCACCTAGCATGGGGCTGAGACCCCACGCTCCTCAGGGCAGACCTTTTCAGTGAGAGCCCTCTGTATTCTCAGTTGCTGTACGTTTCCACCAGTCTTGCTGTGGCTTCTCTGTAAACCTTAGGTTATGAGACTTCTGTTCAGCTGGTCTTCAGATGGTTATTCATGTTCATTGCTCTATAATTTAGTTGTAATGCCAGTTTGGTTCAAGGAAGAGATGAGCGTAGCTTCCACCTACTCTGCTGCCACCCTGGATCCCTGGGTACTGTCTAAACTTCTGGTGTATTTTAGCACATTCTACAATTCCCTTTAGAAACAGGTACCCTGAGGGGTGTATCTCCTAGGCAGTGAGGGAAAGGCTCATCCTGGACAGAAGGCATCTTTCAGGAGAACAGGCCCTGCCTGCTTTCTGGGGTGGTATGGGCACATCTGGTAGCAGGCTGAAAGCAATACAGAACTTCCTGTGACTGCTTGGAAGGACAGGGTCTTCATGGAAGGAGGCTGAGAAAGATAAGACAACCTGGATGGTCATTTAATCTACTGCACTCCCTCAGAATTTAAACAGGGTGGGTTCTATAGGAATCCCAGAGCCAACGTATGTCAATATTGGTACTTCATGTCTTTTTAGATATGTGTGTCTTCAGTCAGATTCAATGCTGCCTGAAAATGATGAAGAACTGTCCACTCAGTGCCATTCGAATCAGCAAGTACATGTTAAACCCTTCCTGCCTAGAAGGCTATCAGGCTGTGCAGTTTATGAAAAATAAATATGCAGAGGACAGGCTTTTATTTCTAAGGACCTTATAATCTAGTTGATGGGAAACTACACAAGAGGACAGATACAAATTTATAATTCAAGACAAGTATGCTAACACTAGACACAGAGAAGAGAGGAGAAGGCTTCTGGTTGGAATATTAACAGCCAAGCCCATTGGATCCTAAAACATAAAAGGATTTCAACCTGTGGAAACTGAATGGGAGGCATGGGGGGACCCCATGTAGCTGGGTCAGTGTTAGCCAAGGCAGGGGAGAGGAAATGGACGGGTCAGGGAAGGAATGAATCTTGCTTCTCTTTGCTTACTTGCATGTCCTGTGCCTAGATGCACAGATCACGATGAGATCCTATTGACCTTCACATAGCAGTTACTGAGTAAGTTTTTCAAACTGAAACTGCTCATTTCAAAGAATGTTTTTCATTCATTCATTCATCCATTCATCCATTCATTCTTTCTTTCACTCCCATATTCAATACACATATACCTAAAGCTACCATGTGGCACTGACCACAATGAAATGAGGAAACACAAAAATAGCACATGGTGTAAGAACTGCCCAAGCAACAGCCCACATATTTCTCACTCACACTGTATGTGCCCATCTCACTCAATGGCCACAAAATCTCCTGAGTATAGAGCACCTAAGCTGGTGCTTTGGCCAATGAACACTTCCAGGACAAGGGCTGAGGGTAGCAGCTCACCCAGGGCCTCGGTGGCATTGACCTGGAGGATCAGCCAGCTGTGGACATTCTCTTTGTCGGAGCCAAAAATGGTGAAGACAGTGCTCTTCTCGCCAGGTTCTGTGAGGAGCCCATACACGAACACAGGCTTCCTGGAGAAGACGGATGTTTTCCAGGTCTCCCCTTCATTGGTACTGTATCTGCCCAAATGCAAGTAAGAGGGTCCTTGCAGTTAGCGTCTCCAGGGCAAGGGCTTGGCTTCCAGGTAATACTCACCAGTGACAGGACCCAGGGCTCCCTGGAGAAATGGCTGATCCTGGGCTAGAGCACAGAAAGTTTAAAGCTAGGCCAGAAAGCAAGGAAGTGCTCAGCAACTAATGCCGGTAACACAAAGGACTCAGGAGCTAGCTTGACATGGCTCCAGCTGGCTGAATTTAGGAAAATTTGAACATAAAGAAAAATGATAACAGGTAATGTACTGACTGAAAACAGAGCACAGGTCCCTGAGCGACATGAACACCGAGAGAGAAAGGGAAGAGAAAATGTGTTTCTTACATTCAACGCTACCTAATAAATGTTGAAAACTCATAGAATGAGAAAACGGACCATTCTATAGCCCACACTGTAGTGACTGACTGAGACAAACCATCATCAGATGCTCAAATCACTTGGTGAAGAGAGCTGGGGCCCAGAATGTGCACATGGCATAAAGACACCAACCCATAGACGAATCATTCATTACAAACAGTGAAATGTAATTCTGATACTGTTGTGGTTAGCTAGGTATTAATAACAGGAAAGGAGCCAAGGGGGAGGCCAGACACTATCTGCATGTCATCTGGGCAGCTTCACCAGGAAGCTGCAGGTTCACACTCCCCAGGGAACCACCGGTCCATTCCCTGCAGGTCACTGGAGGAAGGGGTCCAACAAAGGGGAGGTACACGCACGCGCAGTAAAGTCAGGGTGACATAGGGAAGGTGCCTGTCAGTCAAACCTGGGAACAGAAATCACTGGCTATGTGAGGCAAGGCCCATGCAAGCCTGTGAAGATTTGGGAATACATAATCACCTAGAAAAAGGAGTTTGCTCTCTTGGCTTTCTTGGTGCTCTTGGTTCTGGGCTCATGTGGCTCTCTTGCATTCACCCGTGTTACCTCCTTAGCAACATGGCCCTGCAGGCCCCACATGCAATGGACTGATGGACTGCAGAGGGGAACACAAGCTCAGCTAGCCTGATGCTAGATTAGACTGTGCAGACATGGAATGGAAACTCTGGGCAACGCCTTTAATCCTGGCTCTGCTGAAGCCACAGCTCCGCTTCTTCTATGGAGGGGTGAAGGGAAATGGGACCTTGGAAACTCAGGGATTTAACTCCACGCAAATAAATGCCATTCATTCTTCCATGCCAGTCTCAGAAAATTCCTTTTCTCAGGACATCGTAAGAAGCCCACTCTCACCAACAACCAGTGGGGACAAGGAGAGCTCCCAACTGATAACAATTTTACAGTGGACCTTGTAAGAATCACAACCTTCACCAATCTTGGCATCACTAATAGTGGCACAAACTGACACTATGTGCTTCCAATAAAGCACTGAGGACACCAAGTCATCTATGTGCTATTCTATACAATTGGGCAAATCTAGAATGTCAGACATTCTACATGACAACTTGTATGGATTCTTTAAAAAAAAGTCAAGGCCATGAAAAACAAAAAAGGGAGAAGGCTTGCTATTAGTTCAGAGACTAAAGAGGTATAACAACCAAATGCAATGAGTAACCCTTGACTGAGACCTGGGCTGGAAAAAGAAAGTAGCTATAATAATATGGAACTAAGGAAAAATAAACATAGTCTATAAGTAATACTGAGTTCATGTAAATTTTCTTAGATGTGATAATGGCTTTCTGATTGTATAGAAAAATACCCTTATGTATTGGAGAAATATGGATGGGTGGATAGGCAGACAGACAGAAAGGACAGATAAATAGAGGGGTGATAGAAGTTGAGAAAACTGGCAAAATGTTAACAACTGGTGATTCTAGGTGAAGGTTACATGAGTGTTCTTTATGCAATTCTTCCAACTTTTCCTCAGGTCTTAAAAAATTAAAAACTTGGAGGAAAAGTATACGCTAAGAAAAGTCTCCAAGGCCGACTGCATCAGAATGAAAAAGCAGGCCCTGGAGAAACTGAGCAGCACCCAAGTAACTGTAATGATTTTAAAGGATCACTCGTACTGAAGAGGGGAGAAGGGTGATGTTTGCTGCATCACCCAGGGAGCTAGTGACACGCTCAACACAAGAAACCTCTCAGTCGGAGCTCCCATTAGGATCACAGAGTTACTAGGCTCTCTGGGATCCCACATATATAAAACTTTTACTTTTCCCACGTTGTTGAGATTTTAGTTTCACTCACTCAGGATCTTAATCCCTGAAATAAATCTGTTCGTGGCATCACTGGATACAAACACTTCCTCTCACACTGCGGTTACCAGAACTGATACTTCTGCAAGAAGGTGGAGCGCTAGGCCAAGTGCTAGTTTGCGAGGCAACATAAAGAATGTCACCAGGGACTCAGTGATCTCCTCTCTGCAGATCTTCTAAGAGAGAAATTCTCATCTGGCTGATATGCTTTTGGTTTAGGATAATTTTGAAGCAGATATGGGAATATGGTAACTCATTCAATCTGCTTCTTATACTAGCGTGATGAGCTCGAGTCTTAGTACCACTTTTAACACATTTTAAAAATGGATTTTAGAGACAGAAGGGGAGGGAGGGGGGAGAGAGGGAGAGAAACAGAAAGAGAGAGAGGGGGAGAGGAATACTGATCAGTTGCCTCTAGTCAGCTGCCTCCCGCACATGCCCCAACCAGGGATTGAACCTGAAACCTGGGTATGTGCCCTGACTGAGAATTGAACCTGCCACCTTTTGGTGTACAGGACAATGCTCCCCCAACTGAGCCACACCAGCCAGAGCTGTACCACTTTTAAAGCAGGGTAATGGTATAGGACAGTCTTTTTTTCAGAAGAATCTTTGTGGCCCACACAGTTAAATAAATTCACTGCCAGTGAAATAAACAAATCCCAAGTGTACTGATAAATGGTTTGATCTCAACCCAAAATAAGACATCTAGTTCTCACAGAGGTGCACGCATTTGTCTGTGACCTGCATAATCACAAAAAGGAAGGGTAAATCTATCAAATGTGCAAAGGGAACAAGGCTAATTGTACAGATAATACAATAAATGCCAAAAACAGTTAAGAGGAGGTAAGAACACCTGCTCCTCTATAACTCCTGGGCAGAAGAAGCCACTGGGGGTTAGAATGAAGTGGGTCGGGCAGCTCTCTCCGCAGCCCTCCCAGGAAGTGAAACCAGTCAGTGGTTAGCGGCAGCCTCCCACCCCCGGAACTGTGGCTACTTCCAGAACTCAGGTCCAGAAAAGACAGCTGCCGCTGGTCTGGTCTTCCCAGAGGGACGCCTTTTCAGATGGGAAATCTGCTAGGAAAGGTGCTGTTGTGCAAGTGCCAAGCAGTATTAGGCATGGGAAGTCCCCCAACCTGCAACACCAGCATCACACACGAGGAACACTGCAGAGGAACCGGAGGTGGGTCTCATCCTCCACGAGAAGTGGCCAGCTGCAGAGACATAGCAGCCCTTCCATGAAGAGCGCCGTGAGCCAGGAAGCCTGCACTGAGCCGGCCGTGGTGGCAGGGCCGCCGGAATGAGTGAGTGAGTCCCGGAACAGGCTCCACCTCACTACTTCAGACAGGCCGATACAGGAGCAAAACAGAGTGTTCCACTTCCCTCAGTTTCAGTTACCATTCTCAAAGGCAACAGCCTCGGGGGGAATCGCGGTAGAAGCTGAAACTTACGACCAGCACTCCTAGTTATCTGACCTAACCAGGAAGAGGAAGACATGAGTAACTTAAAAGTCCACCTCTGTCCCCACTAAACCTCCTATGGAGTGACTGACCTTAACCTGCTTCCTCCCTGAGGCTGGGTCAGTTTTGGGTCAGAAGCTCCCTTCAAAACTTGCCCTTCCTCCAGCCTCTCTCTCCAGCTCACTCAAAACATGACAGAGTCACAGTGGGCACGGGAAGATCCCAAACCTGCCTCACTCCCCTCTGTATCCTTGGTACCTAGAACATCTGGTTCCTTATGGATGCTCAGCCAACGGTAGTGTAACTGACCTGAAAGTGTGACTACTGGAACTGGAAATGAGCCCAGTTCCAGCCAGGCCGTAAGTACTGCACTCAGTGCTTCCTCAGGTGAGGACCAAGGAAGGTGGGACCACGTCCCTTCCAGGTTCATAAATTAGTAAAATAAAAGAAGCAATAAAAAATATTTGAACAATCAAATATTTACTAAGTACCTGCTGGCCTGTATAGAACAGAAACACTTGTGTCCAAAGACCTTGCTAACGAACAGAGGAACTCAGGCATGCAATGAAGAGAAGCGGACAAGGGCGTCAGCTGGTGATCAGAGCCCAGGTAATGAGACAGCCCACACACACTGCGAGACTCTGGGGGAGAGTGACCACAGTAGAGGGGAGGCCAGACCCGAGGCCTGACGCAGGGCCATGGAAGCCCAAGCAGGCCGAAGCCGCCTCCACGCATGCATGCGTATCGCCATGGTGGTTTGAGAACAGGAACTAACGACAGTATTAGTTTTAAGCTGCTCTTCTGACAACGTGGACAACATTTGGTACTAGGTCAAAAGCAGAGCGGTACACAAAAAAAAAAATTAAAAAAAAAAAAAAAAAAGCAGAGCGGAAGCAGAAGCAAGACACTGTGAGCAACAGACTGAGTAAATGCCAGGTGGCTACACAGACTGAGGCAAAGCTCAGACTGATGTTTGGGACATATGCACCCATCAGTAGGAGGCCTGTAGGTTATTTTTTTTAACCCTCACCCAAGGATATTTTTTTTCCATTGCTTTTCAGTGAGAGCGGAAGGGAGAGAGAGAGGAAAAGAGACACATCGATCAGTGGCCTCCTACACACACCCCGACCAGGGCCAGGGCTTGAGCCTGCAACCGAGGCATGTGCCCTTGGCCTGAATGGAACCTGGACCCTTCAATCTGCGGGCTGATGCTCCAACCATTAAGCCACACCGGCTTGGACACCTGTATGTATTTTCATATTTGCACATATTTAAACCATACACACAGACACCTCCAAATGACCTATACAAACAGAATAATGCTATAGTGTCCATTGTCCCCACAGTCTACAAGCCAGGTCATTTCTGAGTGTCTGGGAGGGCAGTGTGGTGGTCTGGTGCAGATTTGTTTCCCTGATCACGGTTTGCTCCAGCTGGTGCAGCAATGACCCTGTTTCCTGAGCACATATGCACTGGCAGAGGGGCGAGAGGACAGGAATCGAGTAACCACTTCAGAGAAGCAAGCTTGAAATGCAAAGGAAATCTGTGGAAAGTTAAACACAGAAAACCAGGAACTGACTCTAAGGTCCGATGGCCATGTGAAGAATAAAATGTGTTCCTAGGAAGCCAAACCATGTCCCTACTGTACTTCTCAGTCATGTGCCCAGCATCACATGGCCTTTTTTGTATCTTACCGCTAGAGTGCAGACTCCTTCAGAGAGGGGGAAACATCCTATTTGTCACTGCACACAGTACCTTGCAGAATCAGTGCTTGCTAATGTGAGATGGGAATTAATAAACTAATGGGTAAGTAAAGGGTGGCTAACTGTGGAAAGAAGTGTGCTTTGTGACTATCCTCATCTGAGCAAATGCCACTCCAAACGCAGACACCGAGTGTTGCTCACAAACAGCCTCTTCTGACTCGTGGCTCTAAAAACAGCAGCTGACCAGTGCCACACAGACCAGAAAACGACCAGGAGGAATGCCAAACGCCAGGACTTTGCTCCTCTCTGCTGTGAGGCCGGGCTGCTCAGGAAATGTCAAATTAACCACAAGGGAACCATCTGCTAAGAGCTCTTTTTTCAAACCACCCACCTCTCTCTTGATGCTGGCACTGTTTCTTTCTTTCTTTTTTTTTTAAATATATCTTTTTTTTAAATATATCTTCATTGATTTCAGAGAGAGGAAAGGAGAGGGAGAGAGAGAGAGAGAAACATCAATGATGAGAGGGTCACTGATCAAGCCAGCAGCCCGGGCATGTGCCCTGACCAGGAATCAAACCCTGATCGCCTGGATCCTAGGTCGATGCTCAACCGCTGAGCCACGCCTGGGCAGGCTGGCACTGTTTCTAAAAGCCTTTCTTCCTGGCACTAAACATGATCATTACAGATGCTCTCCCGCTCTTTCGGTAATTCATCTCGTAGGCTCACCTCAAAACAAGGAGAAGTGAGGGATAGCTTTCTCTGACCTAATGTTAACTGGTTTTGATAAAATCAGACTTCAGGAGGCAGAAGTTACAAACTCCTGACATTTTTGCTTTTCAGAACAATATACTGCAAAGTGTACAGAATATAATTTAAAGACCTGACTGCTAGTCTTCCCTGTCACTAATAAGTGAAGAGGCTTTGGGCAAGTTACCTAACGTTGCTGAACCTCAGTTTTCTCATCTGTAAAATGATGCGGTTAATTCCAAATGTCCCTCTAAAACCAAATGTATGACAGCAAAAGTCAATTGTCTATCAATTTACATGTACCCTAAAATTATTACTCACGTATCATTATTTATTGCTACTGATTGTATAAGTAAATGTCTGTATGTGTGTAACATACAAAGCAATGAAAAACAATTTGAAGAGTCTGTCATTAATTTTTAAATCATGATTAATTTATATTTAAATAGAATTGTACTTTTTCAAATCAATAAAATTATTTTGTTTATTCCTCAGGGAACCCCTGGAGGAACCCCAGGAAGGGCAGATCACCATTCCTTCTATATAGAAAGCAAAGTTGAAGTGGTTTCCTGACTTCACAGCCTGTGCTGTCAACGCCCAGTTCTGTAAAGGCATAATCCAGTTATCACCAGACTTAGACTTTCTGGGAGAACAGCATGGCGGTTAAAGAAAAAGCTTAATCAAAGACACTTACTTCAGCTCATTGGTTTCCACGCCCTGGGCAATAGCCACGATGATGCCGCCATGATCTCCCCAGGTGTAGAAGTGAGGTCCAGGCAGTGCCTAAGGAGAAGCCAGTGTTGATGCCACTGCTGGGAGGTGATGGGGCAGAAACCGTGCAGACCACACCACACAGCACTCATACGCACATGCATGCACATGCACACACGTGCACACAGGCACGCGCACACACAGCAGCAATGCCAACCACTTGAATACTACTTTCCAGTTTCTAGAGCACATTCACATGCATGATCTCCTCTGCTCCACACATCCCTGAGGATGGGCAGATGAAGACACCAAAGTTGCAAAGTGGCAGACTGCACAGGTAGGAGAGAACCTAATGCTGCAGAGGTAGAACCCAAATCTCCGGCTCTCTCCAGTAAGTGATTAAAAATTAACCAGCTGGAAGTCCAGTTCTGCTATGACAGTCTGAGCCCATCCTGCCTGCTGATTACAACTATAAACTTTGGATGGAATACAAAAGACAGTTACCTGAGGATGTGGAAATGTAAATGAAATCAGGCGGCCTGTGGATGGATTTAAAACCTAGAGAAGCTACCTACAGAGCTGGGGTTTCTAGGTAGGCTCTGCCCCAAGGGAAAGCCAGGCAGAGAATATCTCAGTCCCAGGCAGACAGAGTAAACTCCAACACAAACTGTTCCTGCCTAAGGAACCAAGAACAGAAGCCCCTCCAGGTAGGCAGAGGAGAATGTGGGTGCAATCCTGGAGGACAGTGTCAAAGAAGCAAATCTTCCAGTGCCCTGTATGGCGCACGTGGGTCAGCCTGACCCCTAAACCGGACATGTCTGCAAGACCCAAACCAGCACAGCAAAGGCTTAGTAAACCAAACTGAGTTTCAACTACCACCCACAGAATTCAAGGGAGAACGTATGGCCCAAATCTAAACAGGTTCATTATATGCTACAACAAAAATATTCACATTCTCCCGGGGATTACATCTCATGCATTTTACTCACTCCAAGATATACAAACATCAGTAAAATGTGTCTGATTGTCAAGGGAAAAGACAATCAACAGGTGCCAATCCCAAGATGATTCAAATGTTGGAATTGACAAAAGACTTTAAAATAGTTATCATAACTGTGTTCCATGAGGCAAAAGAAAATACATTTAAAATAAACAGAAGACAGGCATTCTCCCCAGAGAAGTGGAAACTATTTTATAAAGAAACCAAAACAAAAGAATTTTAAACAGAAAAACAATATCTGAAATAAGAAATTCACTACAGGGCTCAACAACAAAACAGAAATGACAGAGGAATTCATGAGCTTGAAGATAATCATAGAACAGCAGAAAATATCCTTCAAAGGAAGATAAAGGAGAAAAGTTTTTAAAAAAGAGCACCAAGTACCTGTGGGACAGTAACAAAAGGTCTGACATGTACGTGGAGTCCAAACTGAGTAAGAGAAAGGGGATGTACCAGAAAAAGTATTTGAAGAAATAATGGCTGACAATTTCCCAAATTAGGTTTTTGAAAAACATAAATTTATAGATTCAAGACCAGAGACCAGTGTCCCCAAAAAGGATAAACACAAAGAAAACCACACTTACAGACATCAAAACAAAATTGCCAAAAACCAAAGATAAGGGGGAAAAATCTTGAAGCATCTAGAGAAAACTAGCACATTAAATAAAGGGAAGTGGTAAGTGAAACGACTACATATTTCTTATGGAAAACCAAGAAAGCAAGAAGATAGCAGGACTTCTTTAAAGTATTGAAAGAAAATTACTATCAGCCCAGAATTCTATATCCAACAAACATATCCTCCAGGAAGATGAAACAAAGAGATTCTCAAGCGAAGGAAAGCCAAGAGAATGCACAGCCGTCAATCTGCTCTATACAACATGCTAAAGGAATTTCTTCAAGCTGCAGGGAAACTTACCAGGGGAAACAGGGATCTTCAAGAATAAAAGAAGAGCAAGAGAAATGGTAAATACCTGGCTAAACATAAAATATTGCTTTTTTCCTCTTAAGTAGTTTAAAATTGATACCATGATTTAAAGCTAAAACAAAAAACCTAGTTTTGTGGGTTGTCATTGTATGCTGATGTGGCACATAGAACAACAATAACAAAAAGGTCAGGGAAGAAAAAAGGGACCTAATTTGTTGCTGGATTTCAAAGCTTTATGTTAAGTGTAATACTATGTTAAATGCAATATTAATTAAATAATGAACGGCTAAGTATGTATAAACAAACAAATAAAATATTAGACCTAAATCCAACCATAACAATAATTATATTAAATGTTAATGGTTTAAGTGTTTCTTAAAAAGTAGATCTTGGCAGAATGAATAAAAAAGCAAGACCCTACAATATGCTGGCTGCAAAAAACATTTCAAATATAAAGACATAGACTGGTACAAAGTAAATGAATTGGTAAAAGACATACTATTCAAACAGGAAACATAAAAAACACTGAGTGACTGTTTCAAAATGAGATTAAATAGACCTCAAGAAAAAGGGTGTTACCACAGATAAGGAGGAATAGTTCATAACGATAAAAAGGGCAATTAATCAGAAAAGACAGTAACTGTAAATATGTATGTATTTAGTAACAGAGCCTCAAAATACATAAAGTAAAAACTGACAGGATATGGCACCTAGATCTTGGACTCCCAGCCTCCAGAACTGTGAGAAATAAATGTTTTGTTTAGTCAAAAAAAAAGAAAATTGACAGAATTTAAAGAAAAAATAGACAATTCTATAGTTATAACAATTCACAGAAATAGCCAAAAAAATAGACAATAAGAACATACATAATGTGAGCAACAAGGTATAAACCAACTTCATATAAATAACACCTATGGAATGTTACATCCAAAAACTGCAGAATACACATTCCTTTCTAATGCATATTACATATTCACCAAAACAGACCACATATTAGATCACAAAGCAAATCCCAATAAATTTAAAGGGACTGAGATCATATAAAGTATATTCTTTGACTAAAAGGAAATTAAATTAGACATCAATAAGACACCTATAAAGTTTTAAGTTCCTGAAAACTAAACAATCCTTTTCTAAATAACTTATCAGTCAAAGACAAAAAGCAAAGGGGGCACTATGAAGTAATAAAAATATTCTGGAATTAGTGTTACGGTTGCAAATCCCACCACTTTCAAATGGTGAGTTTTAGTATGTGAATTACATCCCAATTTTAAGAGGGTATTAAAATATATTCTGAACCAAATAACAGCAATATTAACATACTTAAATTTGTGGCACACAGCTAAAGCAGTATTTAGAGGAAAACTTAAAACTTTAAATGTTCGTATTAAAAAATATTGAAAATCAATGACCTAAAGTTAATCTATAAGAAGCCACAAAAAGCAAAGTAAAGTAAATCCAAAGTAAATAGGGAAACAATAACACTAAAGAGCAGAAATCAACAAAATAGAAGAGGCGATAGAGAAAATTAAAGTCAAGCGCACATTCTTTGATTGATAATATGAATAAACCACTAACAAATCAAGAAAAATAACAGAAAAAACACAAATCACCAACAGCAAGAATAAAAAGAGGTTATCACCTATTAAAATAATCTTGAATTACAGAGACATAATAAAGGATTTTAACACCTCATTAACATCAATTTCTAGAACATCCAGACAGAAAAGCAACAAGGAAAGAGCAGCCTTAAATAATACATGAGACAAGATGGATTTAATTGATATTCTCAGAACATTTTACCCCAAAGCAGCAGAATATACATTATTTTCAAGTTCACATGGAACGTTTTATAGGATAGACCACATGTTGGGACACAAAGCAAGTCTCGATAAATTCTAAAAAACTGAAATTGTATCAAGGATCTTCTCTGATGATAATATATAAAACTAGAAATCACAAGAAAAAAACTAAAAAACATACCAAGACATGGAGGCTAAGTAACATGTTACTAAACAATGAATGAACTAACAATGAGATCAAGGAAGAGATCAAAAGACACCTTGAAACAAATGAAAATGAGAACACAACCACCTAAATAAAACCTATGGGACAGAGCAAAAGCAGTACTAAGAGGGAAATTCATAGCATTACAGGCCTACCTCAAGAGACAAGAAAAATCTCAAATAAATAATCTAGCTTTACAGTTAAAGAAACTAGAAAAAGAAAAACAGACAAAGCCAAAAGTGAGTAGAAAAAAAAGAAATAATAGAGGTCAGAGCAGAAATAAACAAAATATAGTCTAAAAAAACAAAAGATCAATGAAACCAAGAGGTGGTTCTTTGAAAAAATAAACAAGGTTGACAAATCTTTAACCAGGCTCATCAAGAAAAAAGAGAGAGAGGACCCAAATGAATAAATTCAGAAATGAAAGACAAGAAACAACTGACACCACAGAAATACAAAGGATTATGACAACGTATTAAGAACAACTATATGCCAACAATAGAAAACCTGGATGAATTGGATAAATTCCTAGAAACATACAATCTTCCAACACTGAATGAGGAAGAATCAGAAAATCTGAACAGAAAGATTACAACTAACGAAACTGAAGAAGTGATCAAGAAGCAAAAGTCCTGGACTGGGTGGCTTCACAGATAGATTTTACCAGTCACAGAAAAACTAACAGCTATCCTTCTCAAACTATTTCAAAAAATCCAAAAGGAAGGAAGACTTCCAAGCTCATTTTATGAGACCAGCATTATCTTAATTCCAAAACCATATAAAGACACTACAAAAAAATTATAGGCCAATATCCCTGATGAACATAGATGCTAAAATTCTCAGCAAAATATTAGCAAATCAGACCCAGCTATATATTAAAAAGATCATACACCAAGACCAAGTGGGATTTATTCTGGAGGATGCAAGGTTAGTACAATATCTGCAAATCAAATAAACAAGATACACCACATAAAGAAAATGAAGAATAAAAATCACATGATCATATCAATAGATGCAGAAGCAGCATTTGACAAAACCCAGCACACATTTATGATAAAAACTCTCAGCAAAGAGGGAATAGAGAAAATATACCTCAACATAATAAAACCCATATATGACAAACCCACAGCCAGCATCACAATGAACAGGCAAAAAATAAAAGTGTTTCCTTCAAGATCAGGAACAAGACAGGGATGCCTGCTTTCACCACTCTTACTCAACATAGTACAGGAAGGCCTGGGCACAGCCATCAGACAGGAAGAAGAATAAAAGGCACCCAAATTGGAAAGGAGGAAGTAACACTGTTACTATTTGCAGATGACACAATATTGTACATAGAGAACCCTAAAGATTCCACCAAAAACTGCTAGAACTGATAAATGAATTCAGTAAAGTACCAGAATACAAAATAAATGTCCAGAGGTTGGTTGTATTTTCAAACACCAATAATGAACTCTCAGAAAGGGAAACTAAGAAAACCCATTCACAATTACTTCAAAAAGAATAAAATACCTAGGAATAAAGTTAACCAAGGATGTAAAAGACCTGTACTTAGAAAATTATAAGACACTGAAGAAAGAAATTAAAGAAGATACAAATAAGTGGACACACATGCCATGTTCATGGATAAGAATTAACATCATTAAAATGTCCATATTACCCAAAGCAATCTACAGATTCAACAAAATTCCTATCAAGATGCCATTGGCGTATTTCACAGAGCTAGAACAAATATTCCAAACATTTGTGTGGAACCCCAAAAGTCCCCGAATACCCACAGCCATCTTGAGAAAGAAGAACGAAGTTGGAGGGATCACAGTACCTGATATCAGACTATACAAGGCCATAGTAACCAAACAGCACTATGGCACTGGCATAAAAACACACACAGATCAGTGGAACAGAACAGGGAGCCAGAAATAGACCCCCACCTTTATGGCCAATTAATACTTCACAAAGGAGGCAAGAACATTCAATGGTGTCAAGATAGTCTATTCTACAAATGGTGCTCGGAAAATTGGACAGATTTCTGCAAAAAAATGAAACTGGACCACCTTCTTACACTACACACAAGAATAAACTCAAAATGGATTAGAGACTTAAATGTTAGACTCAAAACTATAAAAATCCTAGAAGAAAATACAGGCAGTAAAATCTTGGACATTTCTCATAGCTATTTTTTCTGATATATCACCTTGGCCAAGGGAAAAATAAGAAAAAATAAACGAACAGACCTATATCAAGCTAAAGTGTGTTTGCACAGCAAAGGAAACCATCAACAAAATGAAAAGACAACCCACTGAATGGGGAACATATTCACCAATGATGGACCTGATAAGGGGTTAATATCCAAAATTTATGAAGAACTTACATAACTCAACACCAAAAAACCACCAACGATTCAATTTAAAAATCAGCAAAGGATCTGAATAGAAGACATTTCTCCAAAGAGGACATACAGATGGCCAACAGATATATGAAAAAATGCTCATTGTCACTAATCATCAGAAAGATGCAAATTAAGACCACAATCAGATGTCCCCTCACACCTGTCAGAATGACTGTCATCAATAAATCAACAAGTGCTGGCGAGGGTGTGGAGAAAAGGGGAATCCTTATGCAGTGCTGGTGGGAATGCAAACTGGTACAGGCACTGTGGAAAACAGTATGGAGGTTCCTCAAAAAATTAAAAATGGAGCTTACCTACAACCCAGCAATTACACTTCTGTGAATATATCTGAAGAAACCTAAAATACTAATTTGAAAGAATATATGCACCCCTATGCTCATTGCAGCATTATTTACAATAGCTAAGATTTGGAAACAGCCCAAGTGTCCATCAGTAGATGAGTGGATAAAAAAGCAGTGGTACATTTACACCACGGAACACTACTTGGCTGTAAAAAATCCTACGTTTTAGGACAGCATGGATGGACCTGGAGTGTATTATGCTAAGTGAACTAAGCCAGTCAGAGAAAGACAAATACTATATGATCTCATTCATATGTGGAATCTAATGAACAAAATAAACTAACAAACAAAATACAAACAGACTGACAGAGAACAGACTGACAGCTGTCAGAAGGGAGGGGGGTTGCCGGGCTGACTGAAAAAAGTGAAGAGATTAAGCAAAGAAAACAACTCATAGACCAGATGTCAGGAATGTGATTCCATAGAGTAGGGGGGAGGTTCCAGAGGGTAAAGGGGGATAAATGGTGACGGGAGGAGACTGGACTTGGGGTGGTGAACACACAATACAGATGGTGTAAATAGAATAGTACACCTGATACTTATATAATTTTATTAACCCATGTCACCCCAATAAATTCATTTTTTTTAAAAAGACTGTATGAGTCCCTTTATATAGAATTCTAGAAAATGCTAATAATCTGGCAAAGATGAAGGTAACAGAAGGATGACTTATTAAGGGGCATAAAGATCCATGGGGGTGACAGAAACATCTGTTCTCTTAATTGTAGTATCAGTGATGGTGTTAGTGATGGTGATCAACTCTGACCAAACTTTACACTTCGAACATGTGATTTCCTGTAATCCCATATATCTCCATAAAGCTGTTGAAGAAAAAAGCATGCAAAGGGAACTCCGAGGATCAAAGAATTTGCACAATTAGTAGCAGAAAGGGAACCAGAATTAGTTTTCTGGGCGGCATTGTGCCCACTGCATCCTATTTCCTCTTCCCTGCCACCACCTATTCCCTCACATCCCAAACTGTCCTTCTAAAGTGAAGGCTGCCACAGACACAGACACAGCCTTTCATCCCTGGTTAGTTCTATGCTATTTCCACACTCAGGCCCCTGACGCGATGACAGCTTCTTGGCAAAAGTTAAGTATCCTGGCAGGAGGTGCTGACAGCTGCCCCGCCTCCGCCGACGATGCCACTTCACTGGAGGGGAACAAAACCTTGCTTTCTACCCAGAAGAAAATCATTTGCAGGTGTTCAAATTCCCAATCACACCAACATCAGAAGGTGCAAACCTGTGCACAGAGGAAAGAACACCCAATTTCAAAGGGACATCTGGCTTCAAGAAGGAGGAAAGCAGCTGCTTAATCTTTCCCATGGGCACAGGCCAAGGATGCCCCGAAAATTCCAAACTGTTCACACTTTTGGACTACTCTGGCCTTAACAACCTCCTTCACCTGAGTAAGTACTTACATTCTCTACCTGTTGAGTAGCCCTTACTTTACACACACACGGAGGCACACAAGCACACGCACACATGCCGCAGCGTCCCAGTCTCGGATCTCTCAGCTAGAGGAAAAGTATGTGGCAGGTCTCTGTAACTGAAAAGTCAAGCAAATGCGGGCTTTACTATTACTTTATGTATTCCACATTTAAATATGAAAGTACACATACTGCGTTCCCAACGAGAAGCACCATGAGGATGGGAACTATCTATTAGCTCTTCTGAGAACTCAACATCCCTCCTGACATCACGCTTGGCCCGCAAGAGGGGTTTCCTCGAGGCTTTTCCTGAGTTCTGGGGCTCCTGCTCATGCAGCAAGCACTTCCGAAAGCAGCCCCATAGAACAAGACCAGATGCACTCCTTGGCCTGAGTCATGGGAAGCTGGTGAAGAACTATTTTTTTTTACAAGTTTGGAAATTCCCTAATGTCCAAGGACTACAGAACTAGCTGTACCTTCAGAATTGGTATAATCAGTGCCTAAGGATACATATTAATTATACATAAGGCAAAAACGTCTTCTTTCACGGCACAGAATGAAATGACGGTACCTACATATCACAGCTTTAGTGAGGAGAGGCTTGATTTCAACTTCAATAATATATAAAAATAACAAATAACCAGGCTCGGCCTGACACCACTACAGCTACATCGTCATTTACTAGTGGATTCAGCAAGTGTCTGCTGAGCACCCACACATGCCAGGCACTACTGGATCCCACGGGTAAGGAAGTGAGCAAAACAGACATTGCCTGTACTCATAGGATTTAAATCTTGGAACATTTAGTCAAATAATTTTTAAGTCTGTTTTTGATTCAAAGTAGCAGTTTTGGCAAAATCACAAGCCCACACTACAAGGTGTGAATACAGGTTGGTACAGCTGGCCCTCATGTGTGGTTCCTCTCTCTGTTTTACAGTTACAGCTGGAACTGGTGACCTCCACCACAGGCCATATGCATCCCTGAAAATGTCTGGGCTCAGGCCACATTCTCACACAGACAAGAACCAAGGTGGGGCCTGACCTCACGCCACCGGGCTCCGGCACTGCTGGAGATATACACGTTCATCTTGCTTGCTAAGTTCTTTCCCACTGAACCTGAAATGCAAAAGGAATAATGATTCTTGATTTTAAGAATATGTCAGATAATCACTTTGTCCAACTAGAAATTCTAAGTAGGATCTAACAATTGAGAATGTCTTAAAGCCACAAAACAGCAGTTACTGCAGTAGAAGTCGGTGGTCACCATGTATTTAGCTGCACATAAGCAAACATCTCAACCAGTAAGTAAGAACAGGCAAAACAAACTTACCGGTGGCAATTATGAGACCGGGAGCTGACTCCTTGGATAGGATGGGCATCCTCCGGAGCTGGACGTTGAGCAGCTGGCTGAGCCTCTGGGCCAGGTGCAAGGAACAGCCCTGGGAAAGCTACAAAACACAAGTTCCAGGCACTGTCAACAAGTGATACAATGCCTACATCTCTGTCCAAACACTGAGGCCTGTGTGTGGACATTGCAGCCTGATGCAAAGGAAGGAGGCCTGGCCCAAAGCAAACAAGAGTCACAGCCTGGCTGTCCCCACACTTCATCAGATGGACATGATCAGATGAACCACTTAAATGCCTCTCACTGAAGAAAAGAGAAAAGTTCTAACAAAAAATTCCTTCTGGGTCTCTCAGAGAAATAGCAACCGGAAATCAGCATCAACTCAAGTAGAAAGGAAAGCTATCAATCTCTCCAAATTACCTAGAGATTCTCCCATGTCACTCCCAGATACACAACATGAGATATAAACACCAAGTATCCACACTAAATTTTTTTAAGAATACCACATCTGCACAGAGTCTACAGATGTTCCCTGTAAGACTTCAAGTTGTTCAAACTGACCTCCATCACTTACGCTGCAGATATCAGTTTTTCAAACACGGTCTTTTGCTATGGGGTCATGTCTGATTCTCTTGGCCAGAAAAGGATTCTCAAGTGGGTTCTGGACACAATCACTCTGTGTATGCTATGGTACAGGTAAAAACTGTGACATGGTTTCCTAGATATACTTCTTTTTTATAATAAAAGGATCTGTAACAAATATTGATCTTGCTAGCATCACAGTTTGGCAAGTGAAAGCTAGAGCAAATTGAGTTGGGTCTCAAAGAAATATCTGCCAACCTTTTCAATCTTTCTCCTTTTTTCACCACCTAAAATCAAAGTAGAAACTAAAAACTGAGTAACTGTTGTACAGTTCATAAATAAACTGATCGGTCGGTGACATAGGAAGCTGAATTTTAATAATACCATTAATTTTACTTAACCAAGGCTTAGACCCCCACGGCATGCTGAAAAATACCCATCCCATCCACACCAGACTCATGCAGAGTTCGGAGATCTAGAAGACACTACTGAGTGCATGGGAAGCACCTAGGTCTTGGTCCACATGTACTTACATCCTGCCTCTCTGCAAAGTTCGATTCAATGTCATTAGTCAAGAGCTGGTACCAAATCAGAAGATAAATCAGAAGTACATTCTAGAGCAAAATGTCCAAAAAAGTTTTCCAAAGAGCCACAGATACAGCATATATTTCACCACAGACAAACAAAATTCAATAGTCCAAAAGACCAGGTAATTGTCTCACTAAAATGTTAGTTTCTCCAAAAATCAGTGCTACTGGTTTTTATCTGAGTTCCTTCTGTCCATCTACTTTACACACCCTAGATCCCTTGCGTGAAATGAAAACAGGGATGTGGTATCTCACATAAAGTTAGGGACCACAACTGTTCTGGAGGGAAAAGAAAGGAGTTGCTTAGTATATGGGACTACTTAATGAGACCAAATAACTCATTTCAGTATCCTTAGCTTTTCAGATGAAGCCACAGATAGGGAAAATTACAGAATCCTAAATTATATTCAGAGAGGAATTTTAAAAGATTCTATAGAAATAACTTATGGGAGAGGTTTCAAATGCTCTTGGTTCAAAGCACAGCTGGTGTCTCAGTAATGTTTTTACAGCACTTTTAAGCCAGAAAAAATACCAATAAGTATATACATCCTAAGAACTTAGTGGCAGTGTGAAATAATATTGCTATATGTAATTATTAAAAGCAAAAGTAAAAGTTTTATTTCATTCTTAAATATCTACAGTTACTTAGTAATGGGATGTGTGACCCTACTGGGCACCTCAGAACATCTCAAACTGTGGAGTCATATGAGGCACCACCACTACCTTCCTGCTCCACCTCATTTCCTCACTTGCCTTCCACCACGTCAACTGCTGAAGATTCAGCTTCACAAAGATAGGATGTCATCAAAAGAAGCACAGCATGAGCTACTGTTGAAACTGTACACTAACTCAAGAAAGTAATGCACATGGTGCCAACAGGTGTCCAATATCACAGTGCTTCCACAGAAGTTTGAGCTGTCCACGGTGCCCCGCAACGTGCCTAGGTACAGAGTTTGGGAACTGTATGTGTAGAACTACAGATAAAACTTTTTTCAAAAACCCAACAAGATGAAAGCATCTATACCTCACAGCTGATTTTTTCTCCATATCCTGTGAAGGCTGGAGCCTGAAGAAATTCCCAGGTTCCCCCTTTGTCAAAGGTGATGACTGATCTCATGTTCTCCTCACTCACGGAGCCATTGATCAGAGTGGCAATGTAGACGCCTTGTAGCCCTTCCACACGGTGGAAGTCAGCAAATGGTTCATTTGCAAAGTACCTACAATAAGAGAAAATAAACAGCTATGAAACTGAATTGGTATTTTTTGGTATGTTTTTGTTATAAATAACATAAAACTTAACCACTTTAAATTACACAATGCAGTCCCATTAGTACATTCACAGTGCTGTGCGGCCACCATCGCTATCCAGTCCAGAACATTTTCACCGCCCAGAAGGACGCCTGTACCCAGGGCAGTCATTCCCAATTGCCCCTCCCATCCAGGGCCCTGGCAACCACTAGTAACTGTCTGTCTCCATACACCTGTCTATTCTGGATACAGCATAGAAAGGATCATACAGTATGTGGCCTTTTTAATAGTTATTTTTACTTAGCATAATGTTTTCGAAGTTCATCCTATTGTAGCACGCATCAGTACTTCATTCCATTTTATAACTGCTCTTTAAAAAAACACACAGTGATTGTTTTTTAACTCTGAGGGTCAAGTTGTCTATCTGATCAATAATTCCTCACAGGGGTCCAGAATGATGACTACAACACACAAAAGTTGAGGTTAGGGTCACCTCTATTTGTTCAAAATGGAGCCCAAATCCTCCAGTGAGGCATGACAAACAGTAAACCATAAGCCAGGCTCGCCAGACGCTGATCACAGTGCCCGCCTCACCACCTCACCCACTGTGGGAATGCGGCTAGGGGTGCAGCAGGCTGTCCGGGGCGCACACCAGGTGTCTGACAGGGGCCCTCCCCGGGGAGCAGCACTGAGCTGAGGTTGCACCTGCTGCCAGCGAGGCCGAGAAGGCCCGATGAAGCCGCTGCGCTAGGAGGACGCTGCAGCGGCCCCGCAGGAAAGCAGCTCTGCAAACAGTGCACGCTGCAGGCCGTGGAGCTCCCAGGAACTGTGAGTACAGGCCACGTGTGGCTTCGAAAAACTGCAGTGCACCCTCTATGGAGAGGGTTCTGAGCACCTGTGCTTTGCAACAAATGAGCCCAGAACTGCGCTTCTCCATTATCTGCCACTCAAACCTTAAGCCGGATGGCTGCTCTCACATCAAACGCGGACGCAGCCCTGGCGCCTGGAAGGGAAGAGGAGCCGTGCTCGCTCGTGGGGGCTCAAAAGCCACTGCAGACGGAGCAAGCAAAGCCCTGACAAAGCCCTGGAGCTGAGACCCAACGTTCCGACACGTGGTTTCCTCAGGCCTCTTTTAGTTAGTTTCCAGTCACTTCCTTAGTAGTCAGCCCAAGGTCTAGTATCCACCTGCTCTGTTTCCTCAGCTCCACGCTCTTCATTCCATCACTATGACATCTGTCACCCTCAGATTTATTGGCTTTGTCAGATATCTGGGAGGTCTGAGTTTCTCTCATTTTGGAGAGCTCTGCTTCTTTCCCTGATCATTCTCCTAAAGTTTTATCTTTTAGTTCCAAGCAGGAGCCTGTGCTCTGTCTGTCTCCACTCCCCGACTTCAGTTCCCAACCCACCTGTCATCTCCCCCTCTGACTGGCCCTAGGACAACTCACCTTGCTCTAAGCACTCCTCCCGACAGCCTGCTGTCCTCCTCTCTCTCACTGGCCCTCACTGCAGCTCTCTCTCATGCTTCCCGGCATGCCTGGGTCGAGCCGTACCTGCAGCAGCAGCCCCGGCCACCCTCAGTGCAGAGTCAAACCCTCCCAGACATTCCTGGCCAGTCAAGCGGGTCCTCCTCAGGATGCCCAGTGGGCCTCACAACTCTCCCATCACCATATTTGTTCCTCCATCTAGACAATGCTTTCCGAGATTTCTACTTGGCACGTCCCACCAATGCCAGGGCAACCCCTATTAGGAATTCCTTCTCAGTTCTCTAAGTAAAGTAGAACCAGTTCCTGGATCACACTTTCCTCCTGAGTTTAGGGAATAGCTCATTTCAAATACCACAAAGTTTTTGTGTTTTTGTAAACTAGCCTGCCCATGTAATCTGCTAGCCCGCCCTTACCCCATTTCATCTTGCTGAGATGGAGATGCAGGTGCCAAGGCCACTCCAACGAGCACATCTGAGCATCTCCAGTCCTGGGAAAAAATCTAAGTCAGAAGGCTCAGCAGGATGCTGGTGTCTGAATCTTGACCAAAATCTATTTTCATTTTATTAAGTGGGCTGCATGCTAAAGCAGGGGAGGGGCCTTCCTCATGGCAGAAAGGAACATCTGTCCGTGTGAGCCACATGACAGAATCCCTAGGCTCCTGCTCTCCCCTGTCCTGAGCTATTCGTCCTAAATACCTGACAACTGTGGAAGGTGAAGAAACCGTTGGCAAGCTGTGACATATCCATCCCACAGCCAGGCACTCTCACTCTCGAACAGTCAGTGAGAGGCCCGAGCAATAATGAATGTTACTGATTTTAATTATAAAAATGTAAGGAGACTGTCACTCATCCATAAAAAGAAATGAAGTGCTGCCACATACCACGTGCCACATGCCACACGTGCATAATCCTTGAAAATGCTGTGCCGAGTGGAAGAAGCCAAACACATAGGACAGATATTTGGATACGATTCCACTTGTGTGAAATACCCAGAAAAGGCAAATCCAGACAGTAAGTACACTGGTGGCTGCTAGGGCTTCAGGGGAGGATGGTGGAGAGATACTGCCTAATGGACAAGAGGTTTTCTTTAGGGGAAATAAAAATGTTTTGGAACTTGATAAAGCTGTTAGTTATACAACATTGCAAATGTACTAAATGACACTAAGTTGTTTACTTTAAAATGGTTAAATTGAGCCCTACCTGGTTTGGCTCAGGGATTAGAGAGTCAGCCCTCAGAATGAAGGGTCCCACATTCAATTCTAGCCAAGGGCCAGTTCCTGGGTTGCAGGCTCAATCCCTGGCCCTGGTCAGGGCCCATGTGGGAGGCAACCAATTGATGTGTCTCTGTCACATGGATGTTCCTCTCTCCCTTCCACTCTCTCTGAGGAGCAATGGAAAAAATATCCGCAGGTGAGGAATAAAAAAAATAAAATAAAATAAGTAAAGAAATAAAATGGTTAAATTGAAGTTATACAAATTTCACCTCAATAAATAATCTTTTTAAAAGTCACAGGAACTAGCCCAAAGGGGTTGCCACTGACCAGACCAGCCCAAGGCGGAGTCCTGGTGGGAGCAGTTTATAACACATTACGGGATAATTAATGTGTTATAAACATTAACACACGGGATAATTAATAACCTGTCACCTACGCTGGGGAAAGTAAGGAGTGAGAGGTGCACCTCCAGTCAGGACAGCACAGTACGTAAACGTGCTCGCCTCCTCCTATGGCCACATCAAAATTACAGCCAAATTACAGAGCAGCCAACACTGAGAACCACCTGAAGACTAGCTGAACAGAGCTATCTAACTAAGGATATAGAGAAGAAACCACACCATGACTGGTAGGAGGGGCAGAGACTTAGAAAAGGCTGGTCCCACACCCACATGTCGTGGTTAAGAACTGGGAGAGATATCTTGGCTGCAGAGGTCCCCATTGAGGAGTGAGGGGGTCCCAGCCCCAACCAACTGCACTAATGCCAAGAAGAGGAGTCTCCACAAAATCTGGCTGAAAATGAGCGGGGACTCCATCCAGGCAAGACACAGGGCACGTGGAGAACCAGACGTCCTCTTAAAGGGTCCAAGCAAAGACTCACTCACTCAAAAACACTGTCCATAAGCTCCAACGAAGGGACAGCAGCTTTAAAAGCACCAGAAGCATGTGGGGAGGAACTGAATTCCCTGGCTTCAGAAAAAGGTCTGGAGGGGTAGCACTCTCCAGCACAAAAGAGCTGGCAGACACCACTGTTCCTTTGCTGAGCTT